TACCGTATTTTCACGACTATAAGGCGCCATTAAAAGTCTGAAATTTTCTCCAAAATGGACAGTACGCCTTATAATGCGGTGCGTGTTATGTATGCGCCGAGTTCCAAAACCGGACTGAGAGCTCCTCTGGCCGACACGCTGTTTATAGAGAGAAAAGGTGGACGTGAGTGACGACAGGCATGCGGAAGTCGGCCAATGAGTGAAGGGTGGGCGTGTAAGAGGACGCTAAAGCCACACCCCTAGCAAAACGACACATCACTAGTACATTGTAAAATGGCTAAATAAAGTACAACCGAACTCAGTTTTGCTTCCGTTGCCTTTTTAAAAACGTGTTTTTAGCCTGTGTCCGTATGTCTTAGCTGCTACCCTATGCTTTAAGCTAACATACTTCACAGTGAAGAGGTGCAGGGTTCGATTCTGACTCTGGCCTTCCTGGCTATGGTCTGCCAGCATTTTCATTTTAATGCATAGCAGCAAGAATTATTCTGGAATAGAACAAAAAATGTCTTATCTTATTTTAAAAAATTGTCAAATTGTGATGAAATAACTTTATATCTCAAAGTTCTACATTTCACTATAGTCTACATTTCATGCATATCAGTTTTCTTTAACACACCTGCTTTTCATTCCTTTGGACGAGAAGTGGTGTATCTTTGGGGCAAAGTGATTCACCACACTGTGAAAAGCTTCCACGCCACTGGTCCGTCCGAGGTGAGACATCTTCATGACATTGTTGACAAACATGGTCTTTGTCAGGAGTTCCACCACTGCGACATTGACCGAGACCCATGAGAGAAGTTACAGAGACACACGTGAAACAGAGGAAATGCAAACAGACATGAAAGAAGGTAAGGAGATGAGGTCAAGAGACCTTTGAAACGAAGATGCGTAAATGAATATACAAGGTATGACAATATTTCGATTTTTTTAGGGTTAACTAGCAGGCAACATCTAACAAAAAAAAAAAATAAAATAAAATACCTGATAATAGCCACGCTTTTTCTCTAGTAATTGGAGGATGTAAACAAGGTAGAGAGGCGCATGACAAGCAGAGAGAAACTACAGATGCTTGAGAGAAGGTAGAGAGTCACAGAGATGTAGAGAAGGTTTGGAAATACAGGAGAGAAAGTAGAGGCACTTCAAACTTTGTACCCAATCCTTCAGGATCGACATGCTCTTCTTTTTGGCCAAGGAGTCCAGTTTCTTGCACATACCTGTATATTTAATATGATATGAAAACTTGTGAAGTCTCGTGCATGACATCTAAGACATAATCCCAAAACTAGCGTATTTATAAACATTGGAATACACTAACCTTTAACAATGTGCCAACAATCATAATAATGGATGACTTGGGTCCAATTCTCCCTGATCCATTTCCCCACCTGGCGATGCCTGTCAGTGACAACTTTTACATTGAAGCCTTCCAACTCCTAACTGCATCTTTTCAGGCCCTCCAGTTCCATTCCATAGCTTCCCCCAGTCTCGTTACTCTAAAAGATAAGTTTAATACATGAAACTAAAATAATTAGCATGTAATTATGCCGCATATAATCTACAAAGCAGTTCACTGCCTATGGGCTCGTCGCACAGTTTTCCAAGAGGACGTGTCATATTTATTCGTCAACAAAGCAGCGCTGCCAACCTATTGAAATGTACTTCCAGAACAATTTGTCTGACTGACATTATTACTCATCGCTGATATGAATAGCATCGATCGGGGTTTGCCTCGAACCGAAAACTAACGTCGCTGTCGCTAGCTTCTCCTGTTCAACGTTGCTAGCTTCTCGAGTTAGCTTTCGGCTAACGTCGCTACCTTCTACTGTTCATTCCACAAGGGTTGGCAGCTATGTTTTGACAAAATCATCAGCTCGTTTGCCTCGAGCCGAAAACTAACGTCGCTAGCTTCTGTTCAACGTTGCTAGCTTCTCGAGTTAGCTTTCGGCTAAAGTCGCTACCTTCGACTGTTCAGTCCACAAGAGTTGGCAGCTATGCTACTGTTCATGCCACAAGAGTTGACAGCTATGCATTGACAAACTCATCATCATCTATCCAAAAATCACACTTACTTTTTTGCAAATCCTTGATCATAACCAGACCGGTTGAGAAAGCAGTTCATCTTTAAAGTGGAGAAGACTCGTCGATGATGGCGTGAAATTCATTCGCTTCGTGCGAATAAAGTATGTCCATTGAAGTGCCCTGTTATCCTTCGGCCAGTGGTACAACTTTTCTGTCGATTGCGAACAATACATCTGATGATGGCGTGAAATTCATTCGCTTGTGCAAATAAAAGATCTCCATTTAAGTGCCCTGCTATCCTTCGGGCACTGGTACAACTTTTCTGTCGATTGCGAACAATACATCGCCACACACAGCCATGGCATCTTACCAACAAGCAGTGCAACAATGCTGTTCAATGGAAGGACTTCCCTCGCAGTTCTCCATGTGACGTCATTTCCGAAGATTGCCGAAGAAAAGCATTTTCGTTGTCAAGGGCGTTGCTATGGGTTAAACAAAGAATCTGGAAGGGTTGCGTTAAAAAAAATAACGGAAATATGCTTATAATTGTTCAGCCATTGATATTACTCAAAAACATGGTTGGCCAATTTTACTTCATACTTGGCCTTAACATCAAGTCCCCAGACATTCTTCGTCTCGCGTTCTCACAACTGGCTGTCCAGCACTACGACAATTCAACTTCCGGACATTTATCCAATCAGAGTCATTTATTTTGAGAAACGTCCTTCAGCGATAAATGATTCGCTGGTTTAACTTTATCTGCCTGTTTTAAAACGCCGTACAAGTTGAAGAGACCGTTGAATTCATGTCAGTGTACAGTATATAGTCAGCGAGCAGTTGTGTTTTTACTTTGAGCGAGGAATTTATGATTTAACTATTGTGGTAAATTGGCATGAACAACAGCGGTTCTTCGCCACGATAGCGACATCTAGCAAGTAAAGTTGAATCGAGGTGTTTATCATTGTCAGCATAACGTTAAAAGACGACCGTTTTGTTGTGGATGTTCGCGTGTGTGTTCCCCCCCCGACCAAGACAGCCAGTTAAAATATCGCTTCTTCCTTCCCGACAGAATCGAGGAAGGTTCCGTCCAAGATGTCAATTCTTAATCTGGGCGTTAAGGCTCTACTCAGCTGGGTAAATTGACGCTAACATGGCTTGCGGTATTTACAGTTTTAGGTTTTGACCTAACCGCCCCCATTCTGTGTTTTCAGGTCAATAATACTGTATTGGCCCATCGAGAAATTAACATCGAAGAGTTACGAGATGGGGAGTTCCTGCTTCGTGTTGTTTACATACTGTGAGTACATTAGCAGTCCTGTTCATTTTGAACATATAGCTTCTGTTGTTTACTCTTGTTTTCCTATGTTTATTTTCAGGAAAAAAGAACCAAACCCCCCTTTAATTCAATCAACTGAGGAACGCTTTAAAGTCATTGCAGAATTTGTGGAGAGTGAGTTTGACATCTGTCAGAGAATTTTATTTTTCTCTCTCTCTCTCTCTCTCTCTCTCTCTCTCTCTCTCTCTCAAAATACTGACGTTCTTTTCAGATTACTGTACTGTCAATTTGGGCAGGTAGGTGTGTCACATGACTTGAGGTGTTACCCAACCGTTAGTGTACTGTACCATAAAAAGTGTGCGTTGTCCTAAACAATGCAATTACAGTATAATGCATTCGAGGAAGGTGGGAAATCATATCAATGCCACTCGGATTTATCTATTCATTTATTTCATTGTGACAGTGCACATAAATCAACACAAGAATAAACAGATGAGTAAAGTCAAGTTGAAAAGTGTTTTTTCCCCCTCCCCTGGGAGTTTAGCACTTGGGCCTCTCAGTTCCAAGGGGCCTTCTAGTACAGTTTTTATTAGAAAAGTCAGACTTCCCACCTCCATCAAATGCAGCATTACTCACAAATACAGGGCAATTTTATGAATTAATCCTTCAGTGTTTTTTTTCCAAGAGCAAAATATCAAATTTTCAGTTGCACTTATTTGCCCACACACTGTGTTTTATTACTAATATCTGAAAACGATTATTTACCTTAATACCTTCTTGTTGGCCAGACGATTGCAGATTTAGTCCAACCAAAGGTCCATCAGTATCATGGGACAACATAAGAAATGGAATCAACCTGACTGTGGAAATTGCAAAGGTATATGTGGGGAAATCTGTTCTGCATCCAATTGCATGTAATATTTTGTATTATTGCTGTTCTACATATGTAGTTTTTTGTATGTGCTGTATTTTAAACTGGCTGCTAAACATTGTTCTGTAACATGCTATGCTTTTATTATGACTCTTGTGTGCCATAAAAAGATACTGGGGATGTCTGACCTGTTGTGTATATTTTCAGGTGCTTTTGTTATTGGTTTACCATGACATGATGAGTGAACGCTGCACACTAAAGACCTTAGACTGTGAAGTGGAGGTAAGCAGGCAGAATGATTTTTGCAGTCTTAATGTGTTTGCAGTGGTTATTTTGCCTTGCCCAGCAATTGCCACACTGTGTTTACACGCAAATCGGCAGAGGACTAAAAGTCCAAATTTGGCGCCAGTTGTAAGTGTGCCAGCTCGTGGCATAGTGTGTAGGCCATTCTCACAGAAGGTGTTTTATTGCAACCCGCTATAGGTTTAAATACACTGTACCTTTCAATCAGAGCTGCTCATGGCAAAATAACCTCTGCCAAATGTGTTTTCTCCATTAAATCTGTGCCATTGTAAACACATTTCCGTTCTTTCTTGTCAGAGGGAAATTGCAAATCTGACTATTTCTTTTGTGATGGAGAGTCATGGCAGTGTTTTTCTGAGCAGTGGCCTCGATGCCTACTTGGCAAAGCGATGTGAGTCTCTCATCCATTTCTTGTGCGTTAGATCTCATCTGCATTCAGGCTTAATGAAGCACTTTTCATCTGATTTGGTTTGTCTCCGTCTTTCAGATTTACCTGTGCCTCCAGAAATATTGGCGCAAACAGCAAGCACCTCTACTTCCAGTGTGTCAACAGCCTCTATACCCTCAGATGAAGACTCCCCTGTGTTACATCGCACAAAGAAAATTACATTTGTGGATATGCATACTGTGGCATCATCTTCTGTCAGGTATCATTGGCCATTATACATCCATCCATTCATCCATTTTCTGATCCGCTTATCCTCACAAGGGTTGCGGGGCGTGCTGCAGCCTATCTGGGATCGCAAAGGCTTAAGTAGGTTCTCCCTTTGGGCAGTTAAGATCCTACTTCCTGCTCATTAAAAATACTCGTCACAGCATGTTTTTAATGTCACCTCTCCAATTGTAAAACATTCCTTGTCCTAGAAATGTACACGGGGGTATGGCACACAAAACGTTCCCAAGTACAGTTTTTGTAAAATCATGCAATAACATGCCATTGTCTACCCGGTTTGCTGTTTCTGGTTGTTAATGAGGCCTTCCTTTGGCTTGCATCACGACAAGTTTAACAGTTCACAACAATTTCGTGGAAGCCTCTTCGCACTCGTAAAGTAGTGATGGGAAGTACTGTGACGAGGCTTAAGATTGAGTGCTCGTGCTACTTGTGTTACTAGTACTTAAACTGTTATTGGTCTTCCTTAAAAAGTCATTAAAGCTGAGCTGCCATTTATTCAAGGAAATGAGCAATATTTAAAAACAGTGCAGAATGAACTGCATTGCTCTCAAGACTGTTATTCCACTGCTATGGCGCTGGCTGATTTTAAACGTCTTTCACCCGCAACTTACCGGTATTCATTTTGATTGTTTTGTTTTAACTTTATTTATTCATTTCCACAGCAACTCTCCTCTTCAGGATATAATGAACACACCCAAATTCCAATTGCGGAAGATCCAACGACAGATGATCAAAGAGCAAGATTATAGGGATGGACTGGAGAAGGAGCTTGCCGACAAGATTAGCCTCATTACACAAAGAGGTGCTGAATTTATCTATGTTTTATTTTTTTCCATGCAGTGTCTAGATCAGTGCTTCAGTGCATTCCACATGTTTCTGTGCAATCATTTCAAAAAACATGAAAAGCTGTTGAAGCGATCAGGTCAGACATTTGTTGTATTGTTTTTGTAATCTGATTTGACTTCCTGATTTGCGGCTGCGCCACAATTTTTTTGTTAGAATTTTGTGAAGGTTTCACAGTTCATCGCCATTAGATCATTTTCTAAGAATACCGGTCATTTCTCTTCTGTTGTCCACTTTTCCTTTTTTTTGTTTTTAAACCTGTACTGTTACTTCCTTCCACACACCGTCGATGGGGTTTAAATCGCTATGCAGTACCATTTTTCATCCAGCTCAAGCTTTGAGTGTTGATGGTTGGGTACCACTTGTCCCGACGTCAGCTGTATTAGGCTTCATGTTACACTAGACCCTCGTAAGGACGACCGCTATAGAAAATGAATGGAGAAGCCGACTAGGGAGTATAATGCATGCCTTCCCTTTTAATGTTTTGTTCTTGTCTTCACTTGTTTTCCTCAGAATCTCATATTAACCAGTTACAATATCGCCTGGACAAGATGAAACAGGAGCAGAGTGATCAAGAGCTTACGGCTAAGGAACAAATCAATGAACTTGAGACCAAGAATAACTCGTAAGATCAGCTCCCCTTTCTAAAGCTCATTCTAAGAACAATACAGAATCTGAATGATGAGATGCTTGGTTTGGTTTACACATTTTAAATAACACTAACCTTCTGTGTATGTGCTTGTAAAAGCATTATTTTTGCACGGTGATATTTTAATATTTCTGTCCAGTGTTCTACAGCAGTTGTAATTTACACACTGCTTAACAAATGGGTAATATTTGTTAAAATGTTATAAAAATAAGAAGAGACCACCCAGCCGCATGATTTCCTTTAATTGAGCTGTTTTGAACGGGAGTGAGGCATTTCAAACTGAATTCACCTTTTTATGCTCAAATTCGAGCCAACTCACTGGTCTTCTTTGAGAACTAGGAAATTAATAAGCATAAGATTTCACCACTAAAAACCAAATTATCTGTTCAGAGCGACTCACATCTTGATATTGGCACCTTAATTTTGACCGAATGCAGTGGTTCCGAACATTTATTTTTTTCACTCGTGTACCCCACGGTCTTTTTGTCTTACTTTGTATGATGAGGACCCTCTCACTCATGGGTTTTGGTGATTCTCTGACAAAAGGATGTTACACAACTGATATATGAAATGCAAATCGTTTTACTTTGGAAGTGTAACACTGCTCTAGGGTTCTATTTTACTTAATTGAGCATTGTGCACTCTGCTTTTGCAGTCATCTTCACAGGATGGGCCACTGCTTGGAAGAGAAGCAGCAGTACTGAACCTTTAGACAATTTGTCTAAACATGGAATGAACAGCAAGACTTTATTAAATCCAGTTGTTCACTTCTCTTCTCCTCCCTGATTTGTAAATGTTTACATGTTATTTTCAGTAAAAATATGAGAACATTATGTGATGTTAGTTTAAGTAGGGTACGTTTATTGTGATAAACACAGCCCCCTCACCCCCACCCCCCAACACACACACACAAAACCACTACAAGGCACAGCCAAGTTATTTTCATGAATGATAGCACAGTACTAAAGTGGGTTGTCACTCACCATTCCGACATTTTTCTTTTAGGTTACAGCTGCGACTCCACGAAATTTTAAAAGACAACAAAGACTGCAAAAGTAACTTTTTGCTGATGGAGCGAAAAGTGAATGAACTTGAAGAGGAGAACGGTGTCCTCTCGTCACAGGTATCGACACTTGGTCAAACCTCAGAGGCATTCTCTTAACTAGATCCCGACAGGTTTAAAAAAAAAAATCAGTCTGCCGATTAAAAATCAAATATAAATGTGTTAAAAATGACACAATTAACTACTGGAAATAAAAAACACATAGATCTCTTCATGACTTCATCAATGAAATGTATTGCGCCATGCAATCCATGTATGCAACCAAAAAAAGTAATTTTTAAAAATAGATTTACAGTTTAGCCCCACTATTTGCGGGTAATAGGAACCATGTCAGCCCGCAAATAGCGTAAATCCGTGAATATTTGATGAGCATTGAAATGCAGACAATGTCAGCACGAAATGCAGAGGGAAATTTGTGAGTGATGGGGCTTCCTAAGTGGAATTGGTTGATGACACGTAAGTGTAGAAAGCTGTCGATATGCCTGTCAACAGCCACAGCAAAAGGAAGTCACTCTAGTGATGGGCATGACAGTTCTTTGAACTGAATCAATTCATTTAAAAGACCCGTTTTTTTTTTTTTTTCTTTTTTTCTACCGAATCACTCATCTGCAATACGGGAATTTTGGGGCTTTTCTGGAAAAACCCTAACCTAATGAAGACATGGCTGTGTGCCTTCGATTTTGGTGAACAGTGTTGTTGTCAGATATCACACTTTAGTGCTCACTGACCTAATTACGATAAACAAAAACATCACGCCTGTAATGCATGTGGGGGTTATTATGTATTGGTGTGAATGTGTATATTTGTTCATTCATTGACATTTTGTATAACGCAATCTAAATGTATGTCCTTAGATTAATGGATTCTAATTAGAGAGTATTCCTACAAGGATGAATGAGTAGTGTTTTTGCTGAGTGGTTCCGTCCTTGGCAAATCAAAATCATTCATACTCAATATGTTCATTTCGTGAACTGGTGACGTTGGTCTCATTTGTGAACCGAAAAGGTCGATATTATTGCCTTGAAAAATATTTTATTGTGGCAGTTTTGACCCTCCGATATTTTTTAGGTGCTCTAAAACAATAAAAATACAAATTGACAAGTTACTCTTGGTTTTCCTGAGGGAGTGAAGTGTTGTGATCAGGTAGTGCATTCTCTAACTCCAAATAAAAGCACCATCTTTTTGTCGGTTAGTTTTTCCATACAGCACCTGTGTTTGGGTGCTTTAGAATTAGTTTCGACAATTGGGCATAAGGATGTAGGCGGTCTGTGGATAAAATACTCGTACACCCAAGTATTATGTTTTCTCAGATGCGTAGAGCCAATGCACAGCTGTCCATATTTCAAGCTGAAGTTGGCAGGCTGACCGAAACCCTCGCATCTGGTCAAGAGGAGTGGAAAGCCAAAATGGACTACCTACAGTCTGAACTCGGTCAAGCCACTGCACAGAAGGTAGGGGTGTCTTCTACACAATTGAGGTGCGACTCTTCCATTGCCTGGGGATTTGATTCTGAATAAATTTTTGATTCTAGATCTTTCCTTTTGAATTAATTGTGTTGTTGTATGTTGCTGGTGCATTAACATTGTGTTAATATGCACATGAATGAGGCAATGGTTACGATAATGGTTATTATAATCCAAAATATTGCGAAATATGTGCATGTGATTATCTATGTCCGCTCACCTTCTGGTGACAAACTGTCACGTTTTTGTGCAACGATAGAATGTTTCCTTCTTTTACGAGGATAAAAGAAGAAGTGAAAATAAATATGTTGTGGGGTTTTTTTCACCCTAATATTTTAAAGCTATTAGCACATCACTACACATGTCCATATACATTTTGATGAGCAACTCCATCATTGTTTGCACGTCAAGCCAACGTAACAGACCGGTTGCACATCATTGTACAGGACATGAGTTGCTGCGTTAGCCAGTAACATCTGAAATGAAAAGTTTTCTTTCTTGAAGGAAGAATATGAAACCTGACATGGTTATGAGTTGCTAACTAAATTATGGCAATTCTTGATGACACCATACGGCATTTTTATAACACAATAGACCAGGAAACAAGTCCAAAATGAATAGTGGCGTGTTACAGCACGGAATATGTCAGTGATTACTGTACACATATAGGACTTGAATATAAAGCTATTCTCTTAAATAGTAGAAATGAGGTGGTACATGAACATGAAGAAAATGGGCTCCATAACCCACTTTTAGCTCCCAAGATCCAGATGAGAATAACTAATCCAACAAAATACTTTGTTTCATTACAGGAGCACCTGGCCGAACAAATCCAGATCCTCCAGGGGAAGATTTCATGTTTACAAGATGAAATTACACTAGCCACAAAGCAGGATGTCGGAGAAAACATGGGGTCTGTAATGGAGGTAAATAAAGTTACTGTATCATGATGGGTTATTTGTCAAGTGAGGAGAGGAATTTGGACTCAGAAGGTGAAAAGTAACGAAAGTCTATCTATGAAAATACAAAGTAACGACAGAGAGTAGGGCTGGATGCAGAAGACAGGGAAGAGAGCTAGCACTCTGACTGGGAGAAAGTGCAACATACATGTCACTCAGTAATCAGAGTTTACATACTGGAAGACACCTGGCATATTTGACATACGGGTAACATAATAAGGGGATGGGGCGACCCGATGGTTGACTGATTACCATGTTGGCCTCCCAGCGCAGAGGTGCAGGTTTCAATTCCGGCCTTTCTGTGCGGAGTTTGCATGTTCTCCCCGTGCCGGTGTGGGTTTTCTCCAGGTGCTCCGGTTTCCTCCCACATTCCAAAAACATGCCTGGCAGGTTAATGGAACACTCTAAATTGTCCCTAGGTGTGAGAGTGAGCGTGAATAGTTGTATGTCTCTGTGTGCCCTGCCTACTGCCCGAAGACAGCTGGGATAGCGACCCTAGTGAGGTTAAGCGGATCAGAAAATGGATCGATGGATAGTAATGGCATAGCAACTGAGACATCAAGGCACAACTGGTCATAATATGATTCATATTTCATGCATTGTTAAAGAATTAGCTTTAGTAATTTTGTCAGTGTAACCCAGACTTGTTAAGACTATTATTTTATTGTTAGTTTCTGTATGGTGATATTTGTTTGTGATAATGTTTTTTTCCGAGAGACGATGAACGCACCGCAGCGCTAGGAGCGAGGACTAGTTTGCGAGGGAGACGGAACATTCTCGCACTTTCCCAGGCAGGTCGAAACGAAAGAACGATAAATGAAAACTGGTCATTGAACCTCTACTTGTGCAAAGTAGTGGAGTTGAAGAGTGCGAGAATGTTCTGTCTCCCTCGCAAACGAGTCCTCGCTCCTCGCGTTGCGTTCATTGTCTCTCGGAAAAAACAGCATCGCAAACAAATATCACCTTACAGAAACTAACAATAAAATAATAGTCTTAACAAGTCTGGGTTACACTAAGATCCAGGAAGACGCTGCCAAAACGACACATGCACTTCAAGTCAAGCTAGTGGACCTTAAAAGACAATCGGAAGTCATGTCTCTCCAACGATGAGTCTGCTCATCTGATGGAGGAACTGCAGCTGTCTGCATCCCAGCCCGATGTCAGCAAGATGAAGGTGATCGCCTTGAGCCAAAAGCTCAAGACCGCCCCGTTCTTTAAATACTGAACCTGCTCATCATGCGGGTGTCTCTCTCTTTCTCTCTCTCTCTGAGACTTTATCGTAATGCCAATATTTGGGTGTTTGCGAAGGTAGTGAATGTTGCATTCTTTTTCAAAGTCGCAAACAGTTACCAGACGTTCACCTCTATTTTTCTTCTCGCAAAGAAAAATATGCGTTCAGCTGCAAGTACATTTGGCGTCGGGGCAGAGAACGAGCCCGAAGGTGCGCCTGACGATTGGATGAGGATAGCTGAGCTGCAGGCCAGGAACAAAGCTTGCCTTCCTCATCTCAAGAGCAGCTATCCTGCAGAGTTTGAGGTTGGTAGATTCATTCTCATCTGTTGTAACAATAAGACCCCTGTCAACCTATCGTCACACCCTTCAGTCCATCTGTTCCCATAGCTGCACATGCTTACATGTTCAAAGTGCCAATCGGAGGTAAACGTGACAGGAGAAGCTGCTTGTACCAATGACACACGCGTGTGTACGTGGCACACCGTCAAAATTGTAGCATAACTTTAAATATATTCTTTACATAGGTCGCAATGTCAGTCCATGGCATCAATTCAACCCCTTGTCTCACTTTAGGCTGGCTGCAAGAGCGTGCTCCCTTTCACCGACGAAGATGTACGTACAGGTGACCCAACGGAGACCATTCGACGAGCGTCCGTCATGCTAGGCCAGCTGCAGGACTCTCTAGCTTCCCATTGCCACTCCCTCGCGGCAGTGCACGCAAGTACCGCAGCCGGCATCCGTTCTCACCGTCTGTCTTTGATGGCGGACCACCCAACGTCTAAGTCGGTCAGCTCCTCTCAACTGAAGAGCCAGAGATTCACAAAGCGTGCTGCCTCGACGTTATGTGTTCCTCAAACGTCACCTGAGGTTAGTCTGTTAGCCATCTTGTCAAATTTAAAAATTGTTTGGATCGCAACTTTTTAACATGGTCTCAATCACTTGACATTTTTATTTGCCAGAAAAAATTGAAGGCCAGCTGCTTCCCCCGCCCTCTCACTCCCAAAAACAAGAATATCAACAGTGGACCCTCCAACTCACAACTTGACCCTGTCCTCAGTCCAGTGAGTTTGACGAAGGGCTTATGTTGCGTAATATTGATTCATGGGTCACTGTGGTAAAAAGTTTTACTATCCTGACTTCCATCCGAGCTACATGGTTTTTCACTCAGTGACATGTGAATGTTCGTCTCTTCGGATGTACCCTGTGAGTCACCCGTGAAAAGTGAGGGAACACTGTTCAATGATTTGTTTGTATAGTGGAGGTTGGCTCCAATGGCCAAAAATTTTACTTGTACCGTTACTTCACAATATAGCCAATGTAAAAACCTACTCCTCCAAATACATGAGTTTGTATAAGTATTCAGTGAAAATATGACATACTAAAGAACTGGTGAGTAACATCAGTCTCATTTTTGTTCCAGCATGAGTATAAATTGGAAAATTATAAAGGACATTGCCCAACACTATCGCAATACAAAACTGAAACAAATGAAACCTTTATGATATGACAATTATGGGAAATTTCTACCCGAAAGTCGCCAAGCAACACCTCCAAGAATGCCATGCAAAAAGAAAATAAGCACGCTGCAGTTTCCCTCGCGGCAGCGGGGCGAGCGGGCAGGGGGGGGAGCTCCAAGTCACCCCAGGTGATCTGCAAAGAAAACAGAAAGTCACCTAAAACGACTTCCAAGTCTCCACGGTTGACGGCAAGCGCTCGCAAGGTAAGGAGATGGTCTTGAATGAAAAGGTGGGCAAAGAAAGGGCCTGCGTACTCTGTTATTTAATCTGACCCAGCATTTACTTTTGAATCCCATCATAGTGTTTTTAGTATTCCCTCTTGAAAATTGGTTACCTGAAATGGAAACCAACTTTCATCAAGCTTTCCATTAATCTCATTAACTGTCGCTTTGAAAGTTTGTCATTATTTCCACCCTAAAAATGAACGTGTTTGGTCACGGTGAACCCTCAGCCTTGTTTTCAGAATTGCGTCTCCTTCAATCCTCCTGGAAGAATGACAAGGTGTATGTTCAATGAAAATGATTTGCATGTTGCTTTTTGTTTATACTTGCTTGTGGTTAGCTCACACTTAATGACAAACACTGACACTGTGAGGGTGTCTTCACATATTCTGGTGATCAAGTTATTGGGTGTCAACACTTCAGACATGGCAGTGCTGTTTTTAAGTCTCTTCAAATTGTGCTGATATTTTTTATGCCTTCTAATGTTTTTTTTTTTTTACCCTGCAGATGAGGAGGAGGATGGTGTGAGTTTTTCAGCAATCCAACATGATTGTTCAGTTAAAACTTCATTTTACGCACTTTTAAGATTTTACTTTTCATTTATTTGAATGATTTTACTGTATTTTCTTATTACTCTTACAATAAAACATTTTGGAATGACAAATTGTGCTGTATGAACATTGAGCATTAGTTTCCAACAAATACTAAATAAAAAGGTCTTTTCGTTTAGAAAATGCGCCAGCAGAGAGGCCTTCAAATCTTGCCACCGTCCATATCACCTGAAAGCTGCACCCTTTAGAAATACGACAAATTATTCTGAAGGCTTTCACATAAATACACCCATCATTTAATAAACCAGTTGCCATACCTACACAAGTAGTATAAATTTACTAAATTCTCAATTCATCAGCTACTCCAATGATTTTTGCCAACCCTTGCGCCGAGGACATATTTTACAAAGTTCAATAACTCGAGGTACACCACCAAACAAATGTAAAAAATACTGGATGTAGGTATATTATACACTTCCTGGTGTGAAATAGATCATTTAATTTTGTTTATGTCGCTATAAGTTGCCGGCATAGATGAACAAAGATACATTGTAAGTACAAATGAATTTCAATTCATTTGTACTTACAATGTTCATTCAAATCATGCAGGCGGTTTAAGCGTCATGGCAGCAGCATGCACAGTGAATGCTGCTATGCTGATTTGTCGTTTAACTTCATTCCAGGCCTTCTCTTGGTCCGCCGAGTGCTCAATGTCGAACAATGCATCGTAGATGCCCGGGAAAGACTCCCCTGCATATTTATTATGGCTGCTTGGAGCAAATACCACATGCCTGGAAAACAGATGTGACTCGTGGGAATATATGAACATACATAAACGGCATGTTACAGTTAATGAGAATGAAGGCACAAAATCAATCTCTGTCAGAGAATCCGTTTTGCAATATGCTCATTTGGCAACCTATCAGTTAATGTGGGGTAGTCAAGCCACACTGTAGTTTTCGCTGGCGTTTATTTTGTGGTTTGATACCAAAACCTCAAATGGCTACCTGGTTTATCGATTATATAACTAAACTGAAGAGGGTTCGGTTTGTGTGTAATACCTGTAGAATGGTCTTCCGGGTAAGCCCAAGGGGTCTATAAAGGCCCTCTCCAGATACATGAGCTGGTCGTTTATTGCACGTACCTGCAGAGGGCTGATATGTGTGAAAACAGGCACCTCAATGCCAATGAAAATTGTTTTTTTGGTTTGCGGAGGCTGACATTTTAGTCTGTTATGACTTATGCAAAATGTCTTCTTACTCTGCTCTGTTGACGTTTTCTAGGCGCTCGTGAAACTCCCTCGCTGCAACGGTGAAATTTTCAACAGCTGAAAACAAGGAGTCTGCAAAATAGCAGACAAAATCTGAATAGCCCGTCGTTAAAATTATGATTTTGACCAACGTACTGGTCCCGACTTACCAAATGACACCTCGTACGACGGCATCTCCTCCCGGTGTGTTTGTGCGATCGCCGCGTTCCAAGCACTCAAGTCTTTGGACGCTTACAAATATGGGATGCGTAGCCATGTGCAGACCATACAACGTCATGATTTCGATTAAGAGTTTTGTGTTTTACAATCGAAAGTTTTGCCAAGCAAAAGACAAGGACACAAAACACAAACGTACGATGCTCGGGCCATCGTAAACAGAAAGGAAAACAACATCGTCATAGCTAACTGTACTTGCATGGCAGGGTGAGAAACATAACCAACTAGTCTGCTAGTTTGTTTTGCCGCTTGTTATAGCAAATAACGTCAAATTGTTGTGACGAGGATCTCTGGTGGGACCGCATTGTAGGACTACATAGAATGCCAGATAAATGCTAAATAAAAGCAACAATTGTAACGATTCAATCTTGTGCTACATGTTCTTTACATTTTAGACTTGCTTCGTGTTGCAGCCATGCAGCAGCAACTTAATTTTAAGTTGAACTCTGTCTCAGGATGGGAACAGAAAAGCCTCCAGTTACAAAGGAAACATGCTCATGGAAGCCTCCAAGGGGGAGAGAAGTACAGTCAGTTCCTCTTAGGAACAACTGCTTCAAGAATCCCAAAAAAGTAGACAGGCTAACAACAGCTTCAAAATGTGAGAGGGACTGTGTCAGCCCCACAGGTATGTATGGCGAGATACATTTTCTTTTGTCACCGTGACTGAAAACTGGTTTCCTCTCTACTCTAACAGTACAGACTACTACAATGACTTCTAAAATGACTTGAGGCTAAACAATGAGGTATAGTAATCTATCAGCATTAGGCTATTCGATTGATCTCTGAATCTACGGAATAAATTCTGTTTGTTCTGTCATGAGCACTGACTGGTCATTTGTACTTTGCGTTAGTAACACACACAATTGACTTTTGACAGAGGAAGTCAGGTATTTTATTGGAAAACAATGTCATTGCACAAGTGTGTGTTTTCACACACACACACATATACATACATATACATATGTGTGTGTGTGTGTGTGTGTGTGTGTGTGTGTGTGTGTGTGTGTTCAGAAGTCAATAGAAACTAGGATGACAGTGACGTTGTCAGCGCAGCCCCGTCGCACCGCCTCGCTGGCCAACTGTTGGCAGGCCGCTTCAAACTGCTCCTCCTTGTCCGTCAACTTACTGTCCTACATTCATGCAAGGCAACATGTTTCATGAGAAATAAACATTGGTTTTGTCTATCGTGTGTAGAACTACAAACACCTGCCTTTTTTTTCCAAGAGGCCATTTGAGGCTAAATTGACTCAGTTGCACCAAACTCCATTGTTAATAAATAATTCAGCCCCTGATAGCAGTTTGACTTAGAACATGAAACTTTGTGCACATGTCTATCATGAGTCGACCCATAAAAAGTCTCAAGAAGCCATTCCTGAAAACATACAGGAAGACCTTGTATTTTTGGATCATGTGGTCATTTCCACGGGTCCTTGGGATTTGAAAGCTTTCAAAGACAGCTTGACTTTGCAACATTAAATTTAGAATTTTAGAATTCTAGAATTATAGAAATTGAGAGACGCACAAAAAAGTCTCAAGAAGCCATGACTAAAAAGGCACAGGAAATACGTTATTTCGGTTTGAAGCAGTTATTTTCGAGTATTTTTTCCAAATTCCAGGGGTCCTTAAAGTCAAAAAAATCCAACATGTTTGTCCAACTGCTATTACATTTGACATATGTATAAAAGACTCAACACCAACAGTACAAAGTGACTTCCTTACTGTACCTGAAGGATGTCCCAGACGAATCTGACGGCTTCATCTGCAGAAAAAACTTTGAACAAGCCATCACAAGCCAGGATGATGAACCTGAGGAGGCCAAAAGGAGACATTCTTTTTTTGCTTCTTTGTATGTAGGCCTGTGTCCTGTTCTTGCCTGTCATTGGCTGTCAGCTGACACCTTCTGAGGTCTGGGGTGGAAATGACGCCGCATCGCTTGTACTGGCCATCTCCGATGGAGCGCGACACCTCCAGGACGCCCAGCACCCGCCCCTCCCTGCAACAAACAACAACATATCCATCATCCATCCCAAAAAATTCCACTGGCATGAAAATCAAAAAGAAATAGCAGTGAAGCAAAGTGTCATTGTTTGGCAGTTCCCACTTGGCATTGCAGATTGTGCTTTTGAAGAGTCCGACATACATGTACATACTAGAAGGAAACCTCCTCCACCTTCAAGTGCCAAGGGCGGACATTGATGATAGTACCTGACAGTTCCTCCTGCTCTCTGGATCCTCATCCTCTCCTCGTAGATAGTTGGGTTGTGTTCTCGACTGAGCGCCAGTGTGGTCGGCTGCTTCTCCAGGGCTTCTCCTTCCTCCTCCATGCGACACAACACGGCCTGCCAAGACGCAACAATAAGAACTCAGAAAGCCATTTGAGCATTCATTGCATATCCATGTTATCAAGTTAAGGTCCATGTACTTACCTGCTCTTTGTTCTGACTACAGTGATGCTTAATAGGGCCAAGACAACTTTGCAAACTACCAGGATGACATGTTACAAGTGAAGCATAAATGAGCATTCGTTGACAACTGAGAGCGACTAAAATTACTCGTGACATTATAAAATTCTACTAGTTTACAACCAGTGCTTCAACATGAAGACTTGTAAACGCACAGGTGTTAACCAGTGCAGTTCTGCCTCACTAGTGAGATGTAGTTGTCCTACTCGGATGCCAAAGTTGTCCTTCGAGTGAGGACAAAGAGCATACTAGTTCATGGATCTTACAAATAAATGCTCAAACAACTTTATCAAAAACTATTAAAGCATTTATTTGATACTCTTGATCAGGATGGGATAAGTATGTGACACATGCTTGCTGGTTGGGCCTAGTCATCTTACGAATGCAGCACTGTAGTTACCTTGCTGTCTCCCAGGTTGGCCACGTAGACCACGTCATCCAGCACCAGCATGCAGGTTGCTGTGGAACCATCTTTCCACGCCGGCTTCCTGTTTCATAAAGAGGACAGGATTCATTCATGAACAAATGCAAAAACAGATTTTAAAACGACAGTGTTCAATAGTACTGCATGACTACCAGTTACTGAATTTATCTATTGGGGTGGTTTTCCGCACCGCAACAATGACTCACTCTAAAGCAGCCATACCAGCATGAACCCACAGTCCACAGGCTGGATGTCAAATGGAGATTGAAAAAAAAAAATCCTCGTTCTTTTCTCCTCATCGTGCTTCCGCCTTTCTCACTGTGACATGTGCGCACTCACGGCTGACAACGAGGCGCTCTAAAGCGGCCATGCTATCAGACTATCTGAAGAAATGGTGAAAAACAATTTATTACTAAATCTCCACAAGTGAATGTTGCATATTGCAGGGTGTATAAGGAAAGGGTTTGTCTACGTTTCGACAAAAAAAAAAAAAAATATTAAGAGAAAGCACTTAATTTCACATTATCTGTAATATCAAACTTATTTTGATTATGCCTGTGTTGTACAATGATGCAACTGAATGCTTGGAAAAAATACAATGAGAAAGCTGATTTGGTATCAGGACAAATAAAGAAAATCCCCGTAGTGGGGGAAAAGGAACAAAAATAGCATTGCCATTTCCTTCCACATTTGGTAAAAATGAAAAAAAAAAAAAGATTAAAATAGGAAATGTGTGTGTTTTTTTTTTTTTTAATGAAGGTCACATCACCCAAAACAACCAACCAACAAAACACACAAGGATTTTTTTTTTCATGAAATACAAAACCAGTAATTGTGGAACACAGTCAATAGCTACTTAATGCTCTTCGCAGGAGCTAATCAGGAGTCTTACTGGCTGGTGGCTTTCTTCAGAAAGTCCTCGTCTGTCTGGCGGAAAGTGTCCACCAGGCATTTTTTAATCAGCTTGTCCAGGTTCTCACTTTCACCTTCAAAAGAAGGACACGCACACGCACACAGTATATATATTTATAGAAATTATTATTATTTTTTTTTTCCAAGTCAAGTCTTGATCTTTACATTAGTGTGTCTTGTGTTTTTTGATTGAAATCATTTTACCTGGATTTTATTTTGGGGGATGATTTAAAACAAATTTTACACCGATTGTGATTTCAAAAAATTTACCAGTGATAATTTTCAACAAAAATTTGCACATAAAGGAATTATTTTAAACATAATTTACTGTAAATCTAAAGGGATGCTATTTTTACACATTCATATAAAGTAAACAAAAAAAAAAGAATTAATTCAACTTCTTAATATGCGTATAGCGTTTAGTGTGTCCGACGTCTGTGGGTGTTTTTTCTCCCTGCAGCTAGGATAATGGAGCTTTTTGCTTTTCAAAATTATGCCTGCACGTGTAGACGTAGCCTTAATTCTTGTTACTTTACGCAGACTGTGTCCTTACTGCTCACCTCGGGGAAACTTCGTTGCCAGAATGTGGTGAAGATGCTCGGCCGCAAAGCGTGATGCCCGAGTGCCGCCATGACCGTCGAACACGGCAAAATACGATGCCCCAGATCTTTGGAAACATCAGTCAATATTCACAAACATTGAAAGAGAGGGAAAAAAAGTAAAATATCACACCCGTGTGCGAGTATGTGTGAGTGTGTGTATGTATAAATGGAGGTGTCGCGAAGTCGAACGGGAGCGTCCTGCATGTCCTCACGCTCACCGCGCCTCGCAGCCACGTAGCCTCGCAGCATGGGGAGGCCTGAACATGCGAACGCACAGTAAGCCGAGCTGCATCATGGACGCCGTGCATTGTCAGACATGGTGGCAAAAGTGAAAACCTTCTCTACAAACTTTCTTGATCTCCTCCTCTTCGTCTTTCGGATGCACCTCACATTCTACATCCTCTCGTTTCCTTTTGACGCTCTTCTCATCAATGTGTTTGGCAGATCGCGGCGAAACTGTAATGGCAGCTGAGCCACGACCTGATAACACACAAATACAGTAGTTGTCATCGCAAGTGGTTAAGATGCTTATGTCACAACAATAATCATTTCATGTTTTAAAACATGTTTATGCAAGATATCCTTTCATGATCCCTTAAGGGTAAGTTTTGATGTTACAGTCAGAAACTAAGTTAATGTTAAAGGAAATCATTAAATAACAGTGGATTTTATTTTTTTGTAAAGACATGGATTTCATTTTAAAGGTCCCAAATGAAATTTTATGTCACAAGCAATTAAACAAAAGACATTAAATAAAGCATGGGGGGGAAAAAAAACTACATTTCTTAAAATTCGACAAAGTAATCATTTTCCCGAAGTGAGATCCTGACGAGTGACCGCATTGTTAGTTGTAAACCATTACAGGGGATTCCATCCACGCACTAATATAGTTTGAATGTTGTCATACAAGATTACATCCATGTACACAAGCAAATGTTTTCATAAACAACAGCCAGAGTTATTGATTGATTATCACACCTACCTTTTTTTGCAAATCCAGTTGAGAAAACAGAGGTCTTCTAATTGCTTGGAACAACAAAGAAAAAAAAAACACTCGTCGACACGGGCATGAAATTCATTTGCTTTGCGAGAACGAAACTGTATCGTTCCAATTTTCTGGTCCGTTTACGTGCCCTATTCTTGTCTTTTGGCCACTCAAACAACTGTGAGAACAGTTGCATCGCCACACAGCACCAAGGCATTTCGGCAAATAACTTGATTACAATGGCAAAGAGCGTTTCAGCGGGACATATATATAAAGAGAAAGCACTTAATTTCACATTATCTGTAATATCAAACTTATTAAGAGAAAGCACTTAATTTCACATTATCTGTAATATCAAACTTATTTTGATTATGCCTGTGTTGTACAATGATGCAACTGAATGCTTGGAAAAAATACAATGAGAAAGCTGATTTGGTATCAGGACAAATAAAGAAAATCCCCGTAGTGGGGGAAAAGGAACAAAAATAGCATTGCCATTTCCTTCCACATTTGGTAAAAATGAAAAAAAAAAAAAGATTAAAATAGGAAATGTGTGTGTTTTTTTTTTTTTTAATGAAGGTCACATCACCCAAAACAACCAACCAACAAAACACACAAGGATTTTTTTTTTCATGAAATACAAAACCAGTAATTGTGGAACACAGTCAATAGCTACTTAATGCTCTTCGCAGGAGCTAATCAGGAGTCTTACTGGCTGGTGGCTTTCTTCAGAAAGTCCTCGTCTGTCTGGCGGAAAGTGTCCACCAGGCATTTTTTAATGAAGGTCACATCACCCAAAACAACCAACCAACAAAACACACAAGGATTTTTTTTTTCATGAAATACAAAACCAGTAATTGTGGAACACAGTCAATAGCTACTTAATGCTCTTCGCAGGAGCTAATCAGGAGTCTTACTGGCTGGTGGCTTTCTTCAGAAAGTCCTCGTCTGTCTGGCGGAAAGTGTCCACCAGGCATTTTTTAATCAGCTTGTCCAGGTTCTCACTTTCACCTTCAAAAGAAGGACACGCACACGCACACAGTATATATATTTATAGAAATTATTATTATTTTTTTTTTCCAAGTCAAGTCTTGATCTTTACATTAGTGTGTCTTGTGTTTTTTGATTGAAATCATTTTACCTGGATTTTATTTTGGGGGATGATTTAAAACAAATTTTACACCGATTGTGATTTCAAAAAATTTACCAGTGATAATTTTCAACAAAAATTTGCACATAAAGGAATTATTTTAAACATAATTTACTGTAAATCTAAAGGGATGCTATTTTTACACATTCATATAAAGTAAACAAAAAAAAAAGAATTAATTCAACTTCTTAATATGCGTATAGCGTTTAGTGTGTCCGACGTCTGTGGGTGTTTTTTCTCCCTGCAGCTAGGATAATGGAGCTTTTTGCTTTTCAAAATTATGCCTGCACGTGTAGACGTAGCCTTAATTCTTGTTACTTTACGCAGACTGTGTCCTTACTGCTCACCTCGGGGAAACTTCGTTGCCAGAATGTGGTGAAGATGCTCGGCCGCAAAGCGTGATGCCCGAGTGCCGCCATGACCGTCGAACACGGCAAAATACGATGCCCCAGATCTTTGGAAACATCAGTCAATATTCACAAACATTGAAAGAGAGGGAAAAAAAGTAAAATATCACACCCGTGTGCGAGTATGTGTGAGTGTGTGTATGTATAAATGGAGGTGTATGTTACATTTGAGCGGGCAGCGTTGATAGACAGCCGCTCATGTCGGGAAGTAGAACGTGAGCGTCCTGCATTTCCTCACGCTCACCGCGCCTCGCAGCCACGTAGCCTCGCAGCATGGGGAGGCCTGAACATGCGAACGCACAGTAAGCCGAGCTGCATCATGGACGCCGTGCATTGTCAGACATGGTGGCAAAAGTGAAAACCTTCTCTACAAACTTTCTTGATCTCCTCCTCTTCGTCTTTCGGATGCACCTCACATTCTACATCCTCTCGTTTCCTTTTGACGCTCTTCTCATCAATGTGTTTGGCAGATCGCGGCGAAACTGTAATGGCAGCTGAGCCACGACCTGATAACACACAAATACAGTAGTTGTCATCGCAAGTGGTTAAGATGCTTATGTCACAACAATAATCATTTCATGTTTTAAAACATGTTTATGCAAGATATCCTTTCATGATCCCTTAAGGGTAAGTTTTGATGTTACAGTCAGAAACTAAGTTAATGTTAAAGGAAATCATTAAATAACAGTGGATTTTATTTTTTTGTAAAGACATGGATTTCATTTTAAAGGTCCCAAATGAAATTTTATGTCACAAGCAATTAAACAAAAGACATTAAATAAAGCATGGGGGGGAAAAAAAACTACATTTCTTAAAATTCGACAAAGTAATCATTTTCCCGAAGTGAGATCCTGACGAGTGACCGCATTGTTAGTTGTAAACCATTACAGGGGATTCCATCCACGCACTAATATAGTTTGAATGTTGTCATACAAGATTACATCCATGTACACAAGCAAATGTTTTCATAAACAACAGCCAGAGTTATTGATTGATTATCACACCTACCTTTTTTTGCAAATCCAGTTGAGAAAACAGAGGTCTTCTAATTGCTTGGAACAACAAAGAAAAAAAAAACACTCGTCGACACGGGCATGAAATTCATTTGCTTTGCGAGAACGAAACTGTATCGTTCCAATTTTCTGGTCCGTTTACGTGCCCTATTCTTGTCTTTTGGCCACTCAAACAACTGTGAGAACAGTTGCATCGCCACACAGCACCAAGGCATTTCGGCAAATAACTTGATTACAATGGCAAAGAGCGTTTCAGCGGGACAATCAACAATGCAGTACATTGGCTGACTGGCGACTCGGCATTCTGTAAATGACATCACTTGCCGGAAATTGCCAAACAAAAGCATTTTGGTTGTTAAGTGCGTTGCTATGGGTCAAACGATGAATCTGGGTGTGTTACATAAAAAACAAAAACTTACGAAAGTATGCTTGAAATAGTTTTAGCTGTATGGATTACTCAAAAGATGGTTGGCCAAATGCACTCTTGACCTTTAAGGTCATATCAACCAGTCCATAAAACATGCTTTAAACTGTCTCTTATACCTTCAGTGAAGTCAAGAAAACTGCAAAACCATCACTTGCCACACGCAAACTGTCTTCCAATAATTTTTATATGGCATTTATAACTCAATTTTTATACAGAAACAATAAATAACGGTGGAAACAAAGTTTAAACCAACGGCAGCATCTTATTTATATTAAGTCTTTATTCGTCAGCATCTTTTGGTCCCTTGAAAGGCGCTATAAAATAAGTTAGTATTTTTATTATTCTCATCACCAATGGAACTACTAATTTATCTCTTAACGCGTGTAGATAAAACGCATTTAAGTGACCCAAAACGAGAATTTTGTGAGGTAACGACCAACTTTTCAGTTGTCAGAAGACCAGCACTACTGCCGGGTTAATCGTCTGCGTTTACCCGAGAAACCGTAATCACTCACCGGTTTGAGTGGGCTCCGGTAGGTCGTCAAATAGATCCATCATTCTCCGAAGCAAGACTAGCCTCGTTTAGCCGTCTGTCCGTCTGAACCCGTGAACGTCGTACTAGAGACAGCAAGTAAGGTTTATAAACAGGTGAGATTACACGATAAAATTCGATCACTAGATGAAAATGTTAAAGGCATTTGTAATTTTAATTACGGTTCATTTCTAATAATCTCAAAATTGACCATCTACGACACGGCATGCAGACTGCAAACTGCAGACTGCGTCTTCTTCGTCTTCATTTTCAAATGCTTCGATGGCAGCATTGTCACGACACTTGGCGCCTCTTAACGCTTTGGCTGTAAACTGCATGTAATCCCTTTTTAGTTTGTAAATATTTTACAGCAAGACCCGCAACTATTGACATTGCATTAAAACTAAAGTTGTTGGTTTTGGCTTGATCTAATATAATACTAAAATTAATGTTGCATTAAGATGTGTTATACGTTCAGAAATTTGGTCAGGTTGCTGCCTTTTCTGATCTGTTTCATATCATGTCCTCGCGACAGGTGGCAGTATATTTCCATGTATTACGCAGGTGCCCCAAAGAAGTAAATTTTCCAGAATGCTTTTCGAGTTTTTAGTGAATTTATTACCATGCATTTTGACATGTAATATTGGGCAAGTAAAACAATAAATTGTTATTTGTTGTTTTTTATTCAAACAAAAACAACAAAAATGTGTTTTACGGGTGCATACTTTGTCAGTACTACAACTCCCGTGATGCTTTTCGGCCAAACAGTCATGGTTCCGCACATCACCCGCCGCCACTGATGACTTGGGAAGAATGTGTTCAAGCAAAGCGTTTGCAACTATGCATGGATTTATCTTCCTCGCCAGTTTTTTCAAAACTTCTGCGACGACTTCAAACTCAAAAGGTGAGTTTATATCAACTTTTAACAGCCGCACAATAAAGTTGCGTGAACGAAACCAAGGGAACACTTTTAGCTAGCCTACACGTTCACTGACATACACTTCATAAAGCAAGTGCCCTGCTGTTATGTTGTAGATAAATTTAACCCACACTGTGCTTTTAAATGGTCGAAATATCTTTTGTGAGGGAATTTTTTATTAAATGCTCGTAAATGTTTCCTCTGTCCATCAAAGTATCATTAAATTAACGAATTAGTCCCACCTACTTATTTGTTTGTTATTAGAGCAAACTAAACCCAATGCTAACTATTTTTAAAACCGCCATTTTATGGTAAATTGGCGTCTTGATATTTGTATACAAATAGTTTCGTTTCCTGAGTACCTACCTGCCCATCCACCAAACAACCAAGTAAAACTCAAGTTATCTGATTCTTTCTGAATGCGTGTACGTGAGCGAACTCCGTCAGATGACTTCATAACTCGGCTGTCCTAATTTACACAACAAAATAATGAAAGCTTAATCACCAATGACTCCGTAGTCATCATTCTTCATCCTTGGGCTGTACTGATGAAAACATGCCACAAGGCCGTTTGAGACACTTACAATTTGGAAAAAAAAGCCTACATATGCTCCAACTCTCTCTAAAAAAATACTCACCGTCACAACATTTCACTGGTATTGGCTTTCCATTTGCCTCACATTTTCTCAGACAAATGCTCATTGTGCACAAATGCGTCAATTGTACACAATTTTGTCAATTGTGATATGCTTTTTGTCTCCAGGGTTACACTCTTCCCACAGTGCCTCCGAAAACTATGCCATGTACATATGGCACAACCGGTTCTATGTGTATGCAGCCTTTGCGCTTGCCTTGACGCTCTGGGTTTCATTCAAGATGATCCTGAAGAAGGTACATTGGCAAGTGTATTCAGAGACATAAGCCTGTGCGTGTGTAGAACCAGTCATACTGTTTTCATCATAATAAAATAACACCTTTTTGTTTTGTCTTTTAGAAAAGCTTATCAAAGGACGTCAGCTCCTGGGTCCAGGAAGCTATGAAGAATCCAGAGGGCTGTGATAAACGTGCTGAAGTTCACGTGTCAGGAGTGAAAATCTTCTTTGGCTCACAGACTGGTACAGCTAAAGTATGAATATTTGGTTACACATATCACTCATCCACAAAGCTGACATTTAGAAATAACTTGGTTTGGAGACTACTGAGAAATTTCAAAATGGGAAAGTTTAAATATACACTTTGACATGATAAATCAGTCCCGTGACCAAGCTTGTAACTTAATTTACCTGCCAATCAAATCCTTTTTTTCCCCCTAGAATTGAACTGCAATGAAAATTAATCCGTTTCAGCCCCCCCGTAACATGTAATCATTGTTTTTTTAGAAAGAAAAAGGACTCTGCGTTATTAAAATTAAATATAAACACAATAAAAAAAGGATGCTATAATGGTGACACTGGCTTCACCCCCACAACGCTGCAGGGTTTTGCAAAGCAGCTGTCAGCAGACGTGAGGAGTCTGGACCTCGCGACAGAGGTGATTGACATGAAGGACTATGATCCAGACGATCAGCTGGCTGACGAGGTAAGACCGAGGCTCCTTTGGCGGAGGTACGATAAGGAGACAAAGAGTGTCAGGGCTGCACCTCACTGATGCTTTCCCTTCTACCACGAACATCTGGCCTCCTGGACTCCTCATAAGAGCTGTAGTGGCAGGAAAATTCATATTGTCAAAAGGCTGCTTTCAAGAAAATTAGGACATGTTAGCCCTTCTTCAAAAAACTTTGAAAATAAATGCAGTAGTTCAACAATGGCAGAGACTACATGATACAATGAAATTTTCATTGATATAATAATTTATCGAGATGTATCTGAATGACATACATTATAAGTAACTGCAAACTCTTTTGTCATCCCACATTGACAGACAAATAGAATGGAATGAATATATGCTGTTATACACAATTCTCTTGTATTCTGCTTTCAACACTGAACTGAAAATATATTTCTTAACGTTCTTGATGTGAAATGTGGGTTAAAAAATATGCTTTGGAATAAGGTTCCCTAAACTGCCTAGAAAATGAAATGCAGAAATAGACCAGCAGCCATGTTTTTAATTTACTGGAAAAACTTCCAAGGGGCATTTTATGACCTTCCCAGCAAAGGTCAAGCACGAATATAAACAGTGGCACTTAGTTAGAGTAGTTGTATTTTCTCCAGTCATTCTTTCAATAAAGTGCATTGAAAAGTCTCTCTGATCCAGAAAAACTCGCTCTGTAATTGGAATCCATTTATGAAAATTTCAGTAAAATGCCCCCAGTGAAGGTAGGCCAACTGCTTTTTAGGGTTTTTAATGTGCTCTATGCTGCAGCTTAGTTGGTGAGCTAATTTTACGCCAGACCTGTTGGCGACTGATATTGTCCTGAAGGCTAACTTGTACTTTTATTTTTTATTTATTTTACATTTTTTTTTGGAAGCATAATGCATATTGATCAACAGAGACATCGATTTTTGCAGTGTCGCTTTTGTCTCGCTCCTTCTCTCCTCTGTCTGTAACTGCTCACATCTCCCCTCTCTGCTGGTTGAGAAGGAGGGGATTGAAAAAGCGACTGGCCCCCATGGCTCATTTACAATCATATTGTGTCCTGCTTAGAAATTCCCTCCAAACATAAAAGAGCACATTCCAGGTGACAGACAGTATTAGAGGTTATTGAGACTTTGATTTTTAAAAAAACCTGTGCTTGGCTATCGACCAGTTCAGGGTGTACCGTGCGAACTGCCCGAAGACAGCTGGCATAGTCTGCGGCACGCCCGCAACCCTCGTGAGGATTAAGTGCATGGGATAATGGATGGATGTTTTTTTTTTTTTTTAAACCACGGTAAACCGTCAAACCAGTAATTGGCCCATCCCTAGTGTGGACTGGTGTCGTCGGAATCAGTGAATGAGAGTAACTTTGGTGACTGTTAACTGGCTCAACTTGTAACCTGACCCCACCCCTCAGAAGGAATTTTCAAATGTGAATTTTTCCATTCAGCTCTTTTTGTCATGTCTAAGTTGTGCAAAAAGTGCTGAAACAATTAACCGGTGGACATGTGCTTTCAAAATTTTACACAAGGTCGAATTAAGTTCACCTGTAGAAGTTACAGTGCATTTTAGGTTCATCCTAAAATTTCACACCAGAGCTCCATCATTTTGTGAGTTTCAAGTTGGAATTCCTTTGATTGTGGTGTCTCGTTTATGTCACCCAGTGCAGCAGCAAGTGTGTGTCTGTGTTCCTGGTGTCCACCTACACGGACGGGCAGCCCACCGACAACGCTGAGTGGTTCTGCAAGTGGCTTGAGGAAGCGTCCACCGACTTCCGCTATGGGAGGACGTACCTGAAGGGCCTGCGCTACGCCGTGTTTGGCCTGGGCAACTCCCTTTATGCTGCCCACTACAACACAGTAAGGCTGGGGCAATATGGACTCAAACTACAATGTACCTTTTTTTTTTTTCGCTTCGTTTTTTTAAATGTTTTTTATTCCCATTTTATTTCAAATCTGTAACTTTTGTCTTGAAAAACTGTTTTGTCTTTAAAATGTAAGACTTTTTCTCTCACTATATATATAAAAATGTTTTTTTTTGTCAAATCTACACAACCCACATACTTAAAGATATGACTTAGAAATGTCTTTTAATCTTGCCAATGTATAAGCCGGTTTTGCTGAAAAATATTTGTTTTTCTCAAAACAACAAATATATTCTCGAATATGTAACGTTTTTCTTTGAAAAAAAAATTTTGCACATTTTTTTCTCAAATACACTATGTATGACTTTATTGTTGAAAAATATAAAAGTCATATGAGACTTTCTGAACTTTTTTTTCCCCCAACACTAACTACTCTCTCAAATATGATATATATCATGAATATGTGACTTTTCCCCCAAATTTGCCATTATTTTCTGGAAAATATACAACTTTATTTCCTCTCATAAGATATATAATTTTGATGTGCGACTTTTTTATTTTTGAAATATCTTTTTGTTTGTTTATTGGTTATTGAACATAAGAACATATACAGTAATAAATTGACAGAAAGTAAGGTAAGTAAAATAGTAAAATACATGTGAATGTTTATTTCACTCAAAATTGAACCAGTATTTTCTGAGGCAGGCAAACTTTTTTTCTCAGATATATGCAACTTTTTCTATCAAATATTGCACCTTTTTTGATTGAACATATACTTTTTTGCTAAAAAATATATTCTTTATCCATCCATTATCTGAGCCGCTTATCCTCACAAGGGTCATGGGTGTGCTGGAGCCTATCCCAGCTGTCTTTGGGCAGTAGGCAGGGGACACCCTGAACTGGTTGCCAGCCAATCGCAGTACAGTATATTCTTGAATATAAATCAAAGCTTTTTCTCAAATATAAAACTTTGTTCTCGAAATATGCAACTTTCTACAATCAAAGGATTGGATGCACTTTCTCATGCTATTTCATTCAAAACAGTGTCCAAATGTTTGACTGGTATATCAGTTTAAATTAATATGATTTCATATTAAAAATTTACATTTTTTATTTCGGAAATAACTTTTTTTTCTGGAAAATGTACAGTTGAGACTCTTTCTCAAAAAGTAACTTCTCAAATATGTAACTTCCTTCTCCAACTTCATTTTTTGTGAATTTCTCTTTAAAAAAAGCGCTGTTTTTTTTTTTTTTTTGTTTTTTTTTCCCCCCCTCAAAAATACACTTCAACTACGACTAGAATTTGTGAATACCAAACTGTGAATATGCGGGCGTATGACTGCATCCTCTTTCTGTCCAGGTGGGCAAAAATGTGGACAAGTGGCTGTGGATGCTGAGTGCCTCTCGGATCTTAACCCGCGGCGAAGGCGACTGCAACGTGGCGAAAAGCATCCATGGCAGCATTCAGGCTGACTTCCTGGCCTGGAAGGTCAAGTTCCTCAAACGTCTGCGGGATCTTTGTCAGGACGACGACAACTGTTGTAGGAAACGCAAGGAGGGCACTTCCTGCATCCAGACGGATGGACAAGAAGTAGAAGAAGGGAAGAACACCGCTCTGGATAATAACAATTCTGAGGTAAGGTATTCAAAAACAACTACAGCTGAAAGAAAGTGCTGTACATCAATAGAGGCATGAAAATTGATTCATCAACAACCATTTAATTAATTGTTTGAAGACCTAGTTTAATTGAAAATTGTTCTCTGAATTTCAGCCTCACAACTGAAAGTATTCTGTGATTTCTATAGTCCTCTATGGAAGCATTTAAAATAAGACATTTGTAAACATCTGCTTTTACATTGGAAAACAGTGGTCAATATTTTTGATTATTTTTGGGCACGTTACAGTACAGGGCGGCACGGTAGTCCAGTGGTTAGCGCGTCGACCTCACAGTGCAGAGGTGCAGAGTTCGATTCGGGCTCCGGCCTCCCTGTGTGGAGTTTGAATGTTCTGCCCATGCCTGTGTGGGTTTTTCTCCAGGTTCTCCGATTTCCTCCCACATTCCGAAAACATGCATGGCAGGTTAATGGAACACACTAAATTGTCCCTAGTTGTGAGTGTGAGCACGGATGTTTGTTTGTCTCTGTGTGCCCTGTGATTGGTTGGCAACCAGTTCAGGCTGTCCCCTGCATACTGCCCAGAAGACAGCTGAGATAGGTTCCAGAACCCCCCCGCAACCCTTGTGAGGATAAAGCGGATTGGAAAATGGATGGATGGATGGGTGTTACAGCACAACCAGTTACTGACTCATAGTCAATTTATGTTTGCAAATTTTCTTTATAGTCAATTTGAAATAATGTCCTGTTTTTGAATAAAGGGATAGAAATGAATGTTGTTTAAGTCCTATGCATCGATTAATCAGAAAAATAATCAACATGTTGATCGATGATTAAAATAGTCATGAATTGCACTTCAGTGAACCCCCGTTCATCGCTGTGGTTATATTCAAGACCCACCCACAGAATGTGAACATTTTCAACATAGGGAGACCATAAAAAAAAAAAAAAAAAAAAATAGTTGGCGCCTCTTAAAAAGTTTAGAATTACCTAAAGATGACACAAGATGGCAGCGAAGCACTTCTTCTGTCTAAATGCAGCTCCCCTACTTAATCATTGCTGTGGCACCGTCTTGTGGCGCACCGTTGTTAAAGCAAAATAATGCTTTTCTGTCATTTAAATAAAACATAGCGTTTTTTTTTAGGTTATTTTCTAACATGCGCATTGTGTAAACCTTGATTTGAAAAGTTAAAAAAAAATTTAAATGAATGCTTGTTTTACGCTAATAGCAACAGTTGATGTTTGCCCAAAACTATACACACAAAAAACGCCAAAACATAATTAATAAATAAATAACTAGATTAAATGACAGACTGTGTCTACTTGACAAAAACAATTAATGCAAATTAGCTGGAAGGATTAATAAAATCCAACAAGGCCTGAGAGTTAAGTATTTGTGTCATACTTCCGTCCACACGTACGTATTGGATACATACATACTAGTGTGCATCTCTCTTTTGTTGCTTTGGTTACAAAATGTCCTACACGCCTCACATGTGACATTTCTCTCAGCTCCTCTGTCCGTCCTCCAGACACACTCTTTGCTCTTCTCACCAATCACTGCATTTTCACACACACACACACACACACACACACACACACACACACACACACACACACACACACACACACATGCATGTGCAGTGTGACAGCTCACAGATGACCCGTTGTCATGGCAGCGGACACCTCGGGAGACGACTGTGTCGCCGAGACTTGTTACTGGCTGCAGCTGACAAGCGTGGCCGTCATCTTGTTCTTCGTTTCAAGTGATTTTTAGTTTGACACGAATCAAGTTTTCCAATTGACAACCTAATAATGCCGAGAGGCAGGTTTTACACAGACACGGTTTTAAGGGTGATTGGAGTTGCAAATGACACGGTTCATCTCAGTCAGGATGTTGTGTTTACAAACCAGAGTGTCACCAATGAGTAGCTGAAAGGAGACCAGGTGTTATTATTTTAAGGGAAACTTTTGAACTTAAGGGCCAAATTTGATTTTAACTCATTCACTTTTGTTGACGACTGTAGTTGTCACCTGGAATCCAACTGTTTACTGAGACACCGACCTGTATATTTACATACTGGTATGTTTTCAACGGGTTGGCGTGGAAAACGATCTCACCCAGCTTGTCTGTGGAATTCAGGTTTGTTCACTATTTTAATGATGAACAAATTCCTGTCGTTGGCCGCATCGTATCGCTTTGGATTTAAGATTAGCATGAAGAAATACCAGTAAGAGCTTCTCTTTGGGGACTGATTAATCTGAAGGGCTACCCGTTTGATACATACTTCTGAAATAACATATTTGCTATAATTACCAATGGTAATATTATATGCAGTGTGGGGAATAAGTCTACTGGTGTTACTAATTGCGTTCGTTTTTCAGGAATGAAGCAAGCCATCCATCCATCCATTTTCCACCGGTTATCCGGGGGTCGGTTGCGGGGGCAACAGTTTTAGCAGGGAAGCCCAGACTTCCCTCTCCCCAGCCATTTGTTTCAGCTCTTCCCAGGGGATCCCAAGGTGTTCCCAGGCCAACTGGGAGACATAGTCTCTCCAGCGTGTCCTGGGTTGTCCCCCCGGGGCCTCCTGCCGGTGTGACATGCCCGGAACACCTCACCAGGGAGGCGTCCAGGAGGCAGCCTAATCGGATGCCCGAGCCACCTCTCGACTTGAAGGAGAAGCAGCTCAACTCTGAGCCCCTCCCGGATGGCCGAGCTTCTCACCTTATCTCGAAGGGAGAGCCCAGACACCCTGCGGAGAAAACTAATTTCGGCCAGTTGTATCCCAGATCTCGTTCTTTCGGTAACGACCCATAGCTTGTTACCATAGGTGAGGGTTGAAACGTGGATCGACCGGTAAATTGAGAGCTTCGCCTTTTGTCTCAGCTCCTTCTTTACCACGGCAGACCGATACAAAGTCCGCATCACAGCAGACGCTGCACCGATCCGCTTGTCCATCTCTCGCTCCCTCCTGCCCTCACTCATGAACAAGTCCCCAAGACACTTAAACTCCTCCACTTGGGGCAAGACCTCCTCCCAGACCCAGAAAGGGCACTCCACCCTTTTCCGACTGAGGACCATTGTTTCAGATTTGCAGGTGCTGATTTTCATCCCAACCGCTTCACACTCTGCTGCGAAACGCTCCAGTGAGAGTTGGAGAGCCCTGCTTGAAGGAGCCAGCAGTACCACATCATCTGCAAAAAGCAGAGATGCAATACTGAGGTCACCAAACTGGACCGCCTCAATGCCTCGGCTGCGGCTAGAAATTCTGTCCATAAAGGTTATGAACAGAATCGGTGACAAAGGGCTGCCTTGGCGGAGTCCAAACCTCACTGGAAATGATTCCGACTTACTGCCGGCAATGCGAACCAAACTCTGACATCAGGGGGTTCGGTACCCCGTACTCCTGAAGCACCCCCCACAGAACTCCCTGAGGGACACGGTGGAACGCCTTCTCCAAGTCCACAAAGCACAAGTAAACTGGTTGGGCGAGTTCCCATGTACCCTCGAGGACCCTGCTAAGGGTGTAGAGCTGGTCCACTGTTCCACGGCTGAGACGTAAACCACACTGGGGCTCGAGTTCCTGACAAACCCTCCTCTCCAGCAACCTTACCAGGGAGGTTGAGGATTGTGATCCCTCTGTAGTCGGAACACACCCTCCGGTCCCCCTTCTTAAAAAGAGGGACCACCACACCGGTCTGCCAATTCAGAGGCACTCTCCCCGATGACCACGTGATGTTTGACGGCATCCCTTACTGCTCGTGTCCACTAGCGAGTTCGGGGGGCCCCTCCACTCTAAGGCGGAGGGAGGCTCCTCTCTCGTCCACCGGTGTGAACCCCAATGTACAAGCACTGAGCCGGGGGGGCAATGAGTATGTCCACACCTGCTCTACGCCTCTCACCATGGGCAACTCCAGAGTGGATGAGAGTCCACCCTCTCTCGAGAGAGCTGGTACCAGAGCCCAGGCTATGTGTGGAGACAAGTCCGACTATATCCAGTTGGAACATCTCTGCTTCGCACACCAGCTCGGGCTCCTTCCTTGCAACGAGAGGTGACGTTCCACGTCCCGCGAGCTAGCTTCTGTAGCCGAGGATCGGACCGCCAAGGTTCCCGTCTTTGGCTGCCGCCCAGCTCATATTGCACCCAATCCCTTTAGCCCCTCCCATAGGTGTGTAGTGGAATGCATAAGTGTCCAGAATCATGAGCCAATTTAATTTTCAAGGATTCATTTGTATGTAAAACATGCAAAATGATTTAATTTAATAATAAAATTACAATAAGTTATGTTTCATTTTATCACATATAGCCTTGATTGTTTTGTTAATTGTCCTCAATGAACGCGAACGTGGACTATCAAACCATCAACAAACTCAGCTGCTGGCATGTACTGCAGCATGTTGTTTGTGAATTCTAGTTTCTAATTTCTTCAGCCATCCCCTGAAGTCTTGTTTCGTCTCCGCTTCCTTCAGGAGGAGCTGGTGGAGTCGAGCAGTGACGAAGACGTCTCGTCAACCTCCCCCTCCGTGTTGGACGTGGAAGATCTGGGCAGCCTGATGAGCAGCGTCAAGCAGGTCAGTGTGCGGCCGGTCTTATTTGCGTGCTTCGAAAGCAGCTTCGCCTTGCACGGAAACGGCAGATGGCCCGGTAGACTCCACACACCAGGCCCTGGCGTCAAAATGAGGCTTGCGTAAGAGCGCAGACGCCCACCGCCATCATGAGTGACTCGAGGGACATTTGTCGTGCAAAATGGACTGCACTATATTTTGATTTTTTTTAAATGATTGTTCCATTTAATTTTATTTGCATTTTTTTTAATTTATTTTATTTTCTTGACAGAAAAAGAAAAAAATATTTTTGAATAGAAAGGTTGTATACTTGTTTTTCAGAGAAAATATATATATTGATGGTTGGTGGCCATCTCTGGGTTCTCCCAGACCAAGCTTGCCTTGTATGGATATGCACACAGCCAATGATGGTTAAATAGCAAACCACTGCATCCTACTTCAAGACAGATGCTCCCATCCCCGTCTCTTCCGTCGTGATACAATCTTCCCCCAAAACAGAATGCTCATTGATCAGTACAACACGTGACTGTCCTTTACATGTATATTTCAATCAGTCAAATTTTTGTCTTATTGCATGCACAACTAAACGCAGTACATAGATGACATTTATTTTTAGCAAAATGAATTGTAAACACAAAAAAAAAAAAAAAAACACTCAACAAATCTCTTACTCATTATCGTATATCTTTTACGGTTTGTATGCGTTCCCAGATTCCTTCAGATGGCGGGCAGGTAGCCAAGCGCTCCAGGAAGGTGGCGAGGAAGAACCAAGAGGGGAAAGAAGAGCGACGGGAGATGATAACGCCCGCCTTGAGAGAAGCTCTGAGCAGACAAGGTAGCGCTGCGCCACCGCGCTCCGCTGAATCCTTAATGTAGCGGCGAATAGCTTGCTTCTCCACAGGAGCATCTGCCAGGTGTTTGTGTATAATGATGATGATGATGATGATGATGATGATGGAGCCAGAGCATCATTACTTGGTAGTAATAAAAATAACAGGCCGTCCCCAAGGGAGGGCAGCCAGATGGTTGCCGCCACTTGCCTCACCTTGTCTCTACAAGGACGACAAAGTTTGACTTCTAAGTCCCCAAACTGTTCTTCATTTCGACTATAAATCAATCACAATGCGGTCAACTCTACCAGAGGCTGCCTGTGTGCTGCTGCTTATTAAGAGCTGTGATGTGAGAGCCAAGATTTGAGAGCCGTGACTCAAGAGCCAAACCGCAACAGACGAAACGTAAGAGGCATTACTTGAGGGCTGTACTGCAAGAGTCCTAATATGAGCGCTGTAACTCGTCGGGCCTGACCTGCAAGCCATACCGTGAGAGGCGTGACTCGAGAACCGCAGGAGCTATACTGCGAGAGGACCTGTGCGAGGTGTGATTCAAGAGTTGTGACTAAAGAGCCAAACAGCAAGAGGCACAACTTGAGAGCTGAAGGAGCAGGATATGGAATGGATTGGAATGACATTTATTGTCACGGGTGCAGAGTAACGAAATTCACTGAAGAGTTACAACCCATCCAATAAACAACAACAACAAAAGAAAAAGATCAACATAAAACCGGACAAGTGAAAGATTACGAAGCCCCTATTAGAGGCATAACGGTCGGCAAATGTGACATTGCCACAATGTTTTCTGGAGGCTGCTTGACCTTGTCGCTTGAATTATTAAGCACTTAATCCATGGTGGTGTTTTTTTTTTTTTTTTTTTTTTTTTTTGAGTGTCTTTTTGGGCAACATTTTTATATTTCACCCGAGCCACCTCTTTGGCTCATTTACCTGCAGAAGTCATTGTACGGCCTCTGGCAGCAATTCAGCTTCTGCTCCTGCTGTTAGCTTTACACAACAACTGCACTATAAATAGCAACATGTGACTCTAGTCCACCTCAAATGTTGACCTGCTGCATTTTGTTAGGACCGTGGGACATTACTTGCTATTATAGTACAACGCGGTTGGAGAACAAATCCGCTGTTCACCATCATGAAACTTTTTATTACCTGTATATGCATGTTAATGCCTTGTTCAATACAGCACATTTATAATTTTTTTCGGGGTCAAAGCAAGTGACGCCCATGAAGCATTCAAAGTGGCTGTACATAATAGTCTGTCCTTGTTGTTGTCTTTACTCAGGGTACAAGCTGATTGGAAGTCACTCAGGTGTGAAGCTGTGCCGTTGGACCAAGGTACTCGACTTGAACTTTTAAAACCCTTTTGAGTGGCACGATTGGCAGTTAAATTGTGCATTCATTTATTTTTAGTCCATGCTGCGGGGCCGAGGCGGCTGCTACAAGCACACCTTTTATGGCATCCAGTCCCACCGCTGCATGGAGACCACACCGAGCCTGGCCTGCGCCAACAAGTGCGTCTTCTGCTGGAGGTAAGACCTGCATCCTCTTCACTGCACACCCCTCAAAAATGCCCTCAGTGGGTTTTTGAAGAAATCTGCTTGAGTCAAAGCCAAATCATAAAAGCACGAGTCTGAGACTCAGAGATAATTAAAATGTCAGTGTAAGATGATTACTGAGTGATTCTTAATAGTGAAATATCAGCTTGTCAGCACATCAATTGCAACAGGCAGCTCCATAGATACTTTATTTTTCCCGTGAAAGAAATGAAGTCGCAGTTGTGCTAGTCAACCCCAGATATGTCATGGGCCAGCCTTCATGTCCCCTGTATCACAGATTTATAAGTACAGTAATGTTTTTTGTATGTGTGTTTGGACAGCATACACTAATGGCAAGTATGAACTTGGTCGTCACATGTTTTGCCACAACATGCTGGGAAGTACCGAGCTCTACTGAAAGAAATACATCATAGTCAAAAGAAAGAAGAGACAGGCTTCGAATTAGCTTATTGTCTCTGTGAATTTCTGTTAGCCTGCCGATAGCATGTCAGCATTAAGTTAGCAGACATTTTTTTTTTTTTTTTATGGGTAGGTTGAACATTTTGATGTTCTAAATATACACTGTTCAATTTTCTTTAATTTTATGAATCAGTTTTTAAGGAAACTCCAGCTAGGATGGACAAACTGCTTATGTGGAGAACTGCAAGCCCGAGAGTCTTCTTTTCGTTTCAAAGGGATTTTATGTCATAGTTTCACATTTCTTGGTAAGAAGACAGTGAGAACAAGCGCAAAGGAACACTCTAAAAGCTATATAACACATTCACTGTCAGCTGTTTTAGAAGTAGAGTTCCCATATTACAGCAATTGAACTGATCTGTCAAGAACTATGCTCTTTTTACAAGTATTAAAAGAAAAAGAGTCTCTTTGTTCACCAGAAAAAAAGGTTTGGTGTCTAACGTTTTCCATTCTTCAGGAATCAACTGTAGAGTGTACGAAACAGAATAAACAACATAAACATGCGGTTGGAATGAGGCAAAAATCAAAGGTGGATGCTGACTCATGACAGAGTTGGCGACAGGCGAGATCTTTGTCACCCCGCGCAGAAAGGTCGCTTTCAGTGCGCCGCCCGCCTGCTGCCACATGCACCACATTTTGTGCAGCAGTGGCAATGAAGGGCGACAGGAAATCAGCAGCTGGCCAGTTCACCCCCTCCCCGCTGACAACCTGCAGAAAATGTCTCGTGTCATCGTGGGGTTAGTTTAATGACTTTAAACCAAGTGTTAACACCCAAAGATCACAGGACTTGGTTGTGTGTGAGTGTACGTGTGTTTTTTTTAACCAGTAGTGTATTGCACTGTAAAAATAACGGTGAAAGTGGACTCCAATTAGAAGAGCAATGGCGTCTGCCAAATCTAATTGAGAGCCTAAAACGCTAAATGAAATAAAATGACTGTACACTGACAAAAAGGATGTTGTTTTGTAATATTATGACTGTTTTTTTTTTCCTGAAAAATACAACTTGATTCTCTTTGGGTTAGAACTTTTTTTTCAAAACTTTTCCAAGTTTCTGTTTGCAATATGAAGTAATATGTAAGTTTTTATCTCAGAGGTGGGAGCTAATAAAACTATTGTATTCTTGTAAAATAACAGCTCTTAAACATGTAGGTTTTAGAATCTCATTTAAAAAAAAAACTTTTTCGAGAAAGAGTGACTGTGTCGCATCAGTTTTCTTCCATTAAAAAAAAAATTGTTCCGTAATATTACATCATCAGAGAAACATGGGGAGATTCTCAAGCTTAAGATAATAAATTAGCAAATCCTTTGCTGAAAAGGAAAAAAAAGTGACTTTTTAAGATGACAGCTTGTTCCCTCCCTTTTTAGAAAACATTTTGGTTGTTCTGTTAGTAATACACCATCTCATAAAATGACAACTTTTTTTTTATTGAAGACATCACACCAATCCGGTGGGCACCGAGTGGCGCTGGAAGATGGACCCCGCTGAGAAGATCCTGGAGGAAGCACTGGAGAAACATCAGAACATGATCCGCCAATTTCGAGGTCAGTGGTGCAACATGCGATGAGCGGAAGTCTGAAAATGTGGCGTGAGGCGGTCTTGAGCGAACCTCGTGGTCACTGCACTTATTGTTGATGTTGCAATTTTTCTGGCACATTTCAGGAATTCAATCTTGCTCGGCGATTTCACCCATATATTCTGTTGTACTGTATTGTTTTGTATTTATAGCTTTATTCCCCCACGCCCCCCACCTTTAAACACATTTAAATGAATTAAAATCCACTAGTTTTCTAAAATGTAAGTCTTCCTAGCGCCTCTTCTCACCTAGCTGTCAAGAAATAGAAAATGTACATCACTTTGAGGAAATAGAGTATTTTTTTTTCCCAGCATGGTTGATCCAATTTTTTTTAACTTCAGTGATGACTTCATTCTTCTAAGAGTGATATTTTTCCTCTTGAGTGTCTTGTTGAACCACATTTTTAACATCAGTCGTTTCCCAATGTGAGCGTTATATTGATTATATTGATGCTGTTTGTATGTGTTGATGCTCCACGCTAATCCTGTGTGTTACCATTGAGCTAGAGGAATTTCGTTCAAACGAAATGAAAGGTTCTGTTGGACATATTAATGTTTAAATATACAGTGTTTGATTCTGTTTTGTTCTATTTGTCGGTTTTGCAGTAAATTTCAACTGAGAGTCACGATCAAGATCACATGATATAGTTTTGTTGTACATGTGTTCGTTTTTGCTTCGTTTTACTGTGCTGTGTGCTGCCAGGTCGACATTGCATATCAAGTCAAGTCAGCTTTATTGTCAAATATGTTTTATGTAAAACATACAGCACAGATGACATTTCTTTGCTCTCAGTCACAGTGCAAACACGCAGTGCATTGAAAACACACATGCTAAAAATAAGGGCAGCGAAACTGAACGGCATAAAAAAGACAAAGTCAAATATATGAATATAAACATGAGAATCTGTTCTCAATTTCTTTACCTGAATGGATAAAGTTCTGTCAGGTTCAAATAAAAATTAAATAACTAAGAGCTTACCGCAAACATTGTCTCTTATTTGGAAAACTGTGCAAGCCAGAGTCGTTTTTCTTTCCTCAAAGTGCTCAGTCTTCCATTTCTGGACAGAAAGAGAGTGAATGAGCGTAATTTTTAACAAACTTTTTTTTTTTTATTTTACAAAGTTTAAACTTATTTAAAGCTAGTATTTTAATACGATCTCTGTATATCAGTGATTGGAATGTATTCCCCCAGCAATATTTATGTTTCCTGTACCTCCACATATTGTTGTGTGAAACACGAGTTCAAGTTAAGGCGCTGTGTTTTGTCCCGCCAGGCGTCCCCGGCGTGAAGTCAGATCGTTACGAGGAGGGTCTGACAGCGCAACACTGCGCTCTGTCCCTGGTGGGCGAGCCCATCATGTACCCTGAAATCAACCGCTTTGTGCGACTCCTCCATTCCCGACGCATTTCAAGCTTCCTGGTCACCAATGCTCAGTTCCCCGAGGAAATCAGGTAGCGTTACCTTAGCCAGCTGCCATCAGTTGTTGTCGTGTTGTTTGTAAAAGCTTTCCAAGTAGCAATACATTGGTACCTTCACTTCTGACTTTTCATAAGATTCTGTTATTTATTTATTTATTTATTTATTTGTTTGTTTGCTTGCTTGCTTGCCTAAAGTTTATCAAAGTTTTCAACAGATTGAAAATGGTCTGTCCCAAACCTGACCACTCACCAAGCTTTCCATGTATATGTGCAAGTTTATTTTTCTTGTAGGGCTTGTGAATGTGGCGGCATGCCGAATTTCTTCATGGACGTATCGACCATTTTCTGTTCTCTTTATCATTAGGAAGCACAATGTTTGCTCTGTTTGTATTTCTATTAACTTCATATTTTGTCATCTGAATGTAAAAGCATGGTCAGGTGTTGCTGCATTACAGGGTGCAGCTCAATTCAAGCAAGTTCAAATAAAGGTCAAAGTAATGTTTAATTTTCATTTAGCTATTTCCTTTGTCATTTCTATTCATTTGAAATTGTTTTCTGTGTCTTCAACTGTAGCTACTTCTCTATAAAATGTATAGTTTTGTTAATATAGGTGGGTGTCTGGTACAGATGAATTGGATTCACCTAACTTCTTGTGATAAATGTTGCTTTGGTTTTTGTGTGATTTGGTTTCGGTCAGACTTTTTTGACAGAATCAATGGTGAAATCCACTACCAGCATATCAAATCCAATTCCCAATTGAAGTGGATTAAAATGCCCTTAATCTTTTCTACGCGACTTGCCTTCTACATTCTCCTCCTCCTCCTCCACAATGTCTGTGGGAGTTCATTGATGAAGGCTCAGTAAATGCGGTGCTTTCAGGACGCTGGAGCCAGTCACTCAGCTGTACGTAAGCGTGGATGCCAGCACCAAGGACAGCCTGAAGAAGATCGACAGGCCACTCTTTAAGGACTTCTGGACACGATTCCTGGACAGCCTCAAGGCCCTGGCTGAGAAGGTCAGATCACTTTACCACATGACAGACTTCAAACCTGTCACCATCGTTTTGTCTTGACTGGATTTTTCTATTTGACAAATATGTGTTCTTACAGAATACAGAGGACAACAATTCCATAATGTTTTCATGAAGTTCTTTCTCATTTGGAAATTTTCAACTTGACAATATTTTTTTAAAGAAAAATAATATTTCTGGTCGTTGTTGCACTTGTGTTTGCGTTATCTACATAGATCGTAATTTGAGAGGGAATTAGTGATGCTTGACCTCAGCACTGACATATTTATTGAAGTCACTACCTAGAAACTTTGTACTTGACTGCGTCAGACAGTAAATGTCAAAACACTTTACCGACTTCAATCCACTTATATCGATGACTTTAAAACATCAAACTTTTGTGTTCGTTCCCGCTGGATTTGAGCCTGTGCCAGCATGTGTCCATTTCTATTTTCAATGCAGCCATGTCTCCCGGGAGCCCCCGAATAAAAGGTCTTGCTGGCTTTTTTCTTTTCAAGAAAAGAGGAAAAAAAAGTCCATTAGGGTAGCCGGCGTCCTGCGGCAGCCTGGCCCGCCTCTGTCAATATGTACTCTAAAGAGAGAGTTGTTTCCATTCAACTGCTGTTGATCATTGGAGATATGTTCCTGGTAAAAATCAGTCTTATATAGTAGGGCTGAACAACAAATCGAATTCAAATTGGCATCGCAATGTGGTAAAATTACATTTTCATATCGCAGAGGTTGCAAGTTGAGCTTTATTATTGTTGTTGTTGTTTTTTTTTTTTTAATATGTAAAATTTTAAATTAAATTCAAAATGGCGGACTTCTTGTTAGATTCAACATATGGGTCCATGAGATTTTTTTTGCAGGCCTTAGACTGTTGCATAGACCACCAAATTTTTGTAAATGCAGATAAGTTCAGTGCTGAAGAAGTGCAGTCCACATGTTTACATATCATTTTTTCATGATACATGAAAAGTTGAAGTGATAAAGCCACAGATTTGTTGGCATTCTTGTTGTAATCTGACTTTAGCATTTACTCATTTAAACTTACGCCACACGTGCTGAAAGAGCTTCATTGAGCCAGGCCATAGCCATGTCTAATAGCCCTAGCCGCCATTTTGTGACATCTATAGATCCGAACCTGTTTGGATGATTCTTTTCTATTTCAGATTATTTTATGTCACTATCGTAAATTGTGATTTACAGAGATTAGGTTTACATTTCACAGCAAATTTTGTCCTCATGGGCTTTGCTTTTATTTTTGATTGTTCTGATGACATAATGCAGATGAATTTTTGATATAGATATACCGCAAAAAAGAGAAAATAACAATCATGCATTCTTACTGATGAAATGTGCATGTAGTACGTCTCCCAGATTTACTTGTACAAGTGTATGCCATACACAGTGGCAATTTTTCCCCAGAGACAGAACATCACAGCAAAATCACTGCATTCAAATTAGGCAAATTTAGTGAGTGGCAACTTAAGATGGGCACTGCTCGTGGCTAAGTGCTGTTGGTCGTCCGTTCATATGTAAGTCGGTGCTCATGATAGCGGCCGGCTATAAGATGGCCAACCTTTAGCCAGTCTGTACGTTGAGTGCCTCTTGGTATCAGTCGTGGGATTACAGCTGGTTTATGAATGTGCCTGCTCCATGGTGATTTTATTTGGAAAATTGATCCCCACAAAATTCCCCCAAATTTGATTTGTGTGATCAAGTCAGAGCTGTATACAGTGAGAGAGTGAATGGCAATTGTATGTATAGAACAGCAATGAAATGCAAGGGTAAATTGTGTACACACAATCATATGAGGTGAGTCTACATTTATATGATTTTCACAGTTATAACGACCCTCTGAGGGAAACCACAAGTACCCAGTGGCCTACAGTGTAAATGAGTTTGACACCCAGGCCTACGTCATCCTGCACCATTCGAACAGCAGTAGTTCAATGTTTTGGCCTCGTTTTTGTAATCCGCCTAGGGAAAGTTCACAGTGTACAACATATTCCCTCATCCAATTGCTTTTGTTGTGGCATTAAAATGCTGGGCGACCCCTCCTTTTCCATTCTATTTCCATTCGCTCTTTCGGCACTCACTGCAGCGCTGCGGCGTCTTTCACACGGAACACTGAATGTTGTGTTCCCAGAATCAACAATCAAGTCCTGGCCAGGCACCAAAAGGGAAGGTGTTTTGTTTTATTGCAAATTACACTTCAGGATGTCCTTGATCGTCACCATCCCTCCCCCCTTCCCCCCCAGGCCTGCCCTTGTGCTACAAAGAATTGTCAACTTGAAGCAATACTTCTAATGCGCCATGTGTACTGTAGAGTGACTTATTTTAAAGAGATGTTCTGTCGTAATTACAATTTTGGTTGGGATATTTGGCTAATTATGTCATTTTTATTTATTTATTTATTTTGTCTGGTCAGTTTCCAACTTTAGATTTGTTCTGTAACTTGTTCCAATAATTTTGTTGTAAATCTATTTGCATTTGTCTTGTTTGTGTGTGTGTGTGTGTGTGTGTGTGTGTGTGTGTGTGTGTGTGTGTGTGTGTGTGTGTGTGTGTGTTTCTCTTGTTCAGAGGCAGAGGACAGTGTATCGGTTAACGCTGGTCAAAGCTTGGAACGTGGAGGAGATAACTGCCTACTCAGAGCTTGTCGCATTAGGCCAGCCCGACTTTATCGAGGTCAAGGTAGGATATGGTTTTGTATCATTGTTCGTGTGTGTGTCTGTGTGTGTGTGTGTGTGTGTGTGTGTGTGTGTGTGTGTGTGTGTGTGTTTACTGGAGTGCATCCACACGGCGGGCGTCTTGAGAGACATCAGACAGCAAAGCCTTGTTTTTCCTTTGATAATGTGCATGAATGCCAACACTGCCAGCGGCTGGCTGGCTGGCTGGCTGGCTGGCTGGCTGGCACGCAACGCGCCGTCTGCGCTCACTTCAAAGTTTACATCCAAAGAATTGGAAACAAATGCATTTTTTTGTTTGTTTGTTTTTCATTGTTTGTTACTCTAATGTGTGAAGCAATATTTTGTTCAGATACATTTGTTGTAATGTAGTTTTTTTTTAACATTCTGTTATTTAGAGGTATTTCTGTAATACGTCTGTTCCAACTTGTTTGGGTTTGTCTACTATTTTTGTATTTTTATGTGTTTTTGTACTGTAGTATTGTAATATTCTTAGCTATTTTAAGGAATGTTTTCTAACATTTTTGTCAGAGTAGCAACAGAGTTTGATTTTGTGGCCCCATATATGTCTCCTTATTTGCATTTTATCTCAAATATTTTTTTTAATCACGCAACATATAGTGATGTTGTGTTTTTCTATATATTTAAAAATAATTGTCGTCATGTCCAAAATTTTCCATTTTTAGATTTAGATTTTATCTGACATTTTTTGTAATCATTTCTAAAGTTTATCATATCTGAGCATTTCCCGAAAATTAACATTCGCGTTTTTCGTAACAAGTTGAGCAATTTTGCTCTGGCTCACGTCTGACAGCACAAATGAGCCTAATGATTTGACTTATGTTGTCTGTGCTGAGTTGAAAATATTAGAATAAACCATCTAAAACTACTAAAAGCATTCAAAATGAAACCATGAGTCAAAACTCAAATCACAACTCGTATTCAAAGTATAAAAGCCCACTAAAACTGTATCTTGTCAAGTATTAGGATTCCATTTTAGCACAGTCAAAAAGACATGAAGGTTTTATTATTTAACAACATGCGGGTCCTTTTGCATGCATCTATTCATTTTTGAACACGCCAATGAATAATTGAGTTAGTGAGGGACTGTGACACGTGTCCTCATCAGACACCGTTTGTCCTCTCGTCAGCAGCTCAGGCAGAATTTCCCAAAGGGGGGTTAATGCGAAAAGAAAAAAAAATGGTTGTACAAATCGAAATCAGATGGCTTCCAAGTGTGGATAAAATTATGATCGTCAGATCTGATTGAATTTTCGACTTCAGCGATTTCATTATCGTCACCGTCGAGTGGAAGCATATATCTTCAATATATCTCATAAGTTCCATCCAAACTTCTTCTGGCTCTTTGTCTTTAATGCTCGATATCCTATGAATGACCAGACAGAGGACTGCGGTTTGAGAAAAAGTTGAGCCCGAATTTACTTCACACCAAGATACCATAAGATTATTCCAAAGCACAACTTTGGTGAAAATGAGGCTTCTCAGTCTACTTGTTCTTCCCCACAGCTCTACTTTGTCTAAGCGAGGCTCCTCCACTTATTTCAACTTAGATTCAAGATGCCACAAGAATACTTTTGTCTTCATTAGGCTCTTCAAATCAACTTATCTCCTTGACACCAAGAATGGTGGCAAAGCACTCCCTTTGTCTAAAATTAAGCTCCTCAATTCACTTCAAATGAGTTTGACACCAAGATACCACAAGGTTTTCAAAAAGTACTACTTTGGCCAAAATCAGGCTCCTCAATTGACCTCAGCTCAGTTCCGTGGCACTAAGGTGCCACAAGATGGTGTCAGAGCGCTACTTTTGTCGAAATGAAGCCCTTCAGTACACTTAAATCTCGTTCCTTGACACCAAGCTACCACAAGATGGCAACTCAGCGCTACTTTTATCAAAATGAAAATCCGCAAGTCACTTCAACTTAGTTCCTCGGCGCCAAGATGCCATAAGATCATTCTAAAACAATACTTTTGTCTCAACGAAACTCTTCACATCAGTTGAATTTAGTTCCTTCATACCAAAGATGAATACGTTTTAAAAAATTGCATGCTACCGTATTTCTGTGCAACGTCAAAAATGGCCACAAACAACTTAAAAGGTGCATAGAGTCCAACAGGTCCTTCTGATGGTTAATTACATAAATCTTCAAACTGGCAAATGATGGTTTGAATTGTTCTCAGAACACACCCAAATTATTTTTGTTGTGCCATTCCAGGAGCAAAAGAGCACGACAGGCTCTTTGTTAGCATTCACGAGGCAGCCTCTCGAGGGAACACCTCCTCTTTTTTCCCCCCCTCTTTCATAATCAAGAGCACACCACGTTCTTGCGGCCCATTAGTTCCCCCAGGGTGAGCCAGGAGTCCGTCCACGGTAATCATGTGGCAGAAGGGCCCCCAAATGATGATGGAGGGCGCAAGCGAACAGCCGCCTCGCACGTTTGACAAACTCGAGTAAATAATTGAGGGAGTTGGTTTGCCACAGCTTCATTTTTCTTTGTAAGTCTCGCGTGAGGCTTTTTGTTTTTGTGCAGGGGCCGGAGGAAAGAAAGGAGAAAAGCTCCTTAGAGGTGTTTGCGCGGTGGTTGTTTTCACCATCGGAACAGAGGAACTGTGGAGTGGATGGGATAGCAGTGGAGAGACAATGCAACACAGCTGTGAAGCATTTTTCAGCAACAGGGTTTATAAAATATTAGTGATTCGCAGGATGGAATAGATTTCAAGCACTTTTGTGTTTTAATAATAAGAATAATAAGAAAACATTTATTCGTCTCACAATGGAGAAATTCCCAATTTACAGTTTTTGTAAATTCAATAAATTTACAATTTATTGAAATTTTGGGGCTAATATTGCGAATTTCTATTATTTTTATTTTAGATATTTTTGCCATGTATTTTTGTCAGAATACTTTTGTAAGTTTACTCTTCTTATGAATGTGCGCGAGTGCGTGGGTGGGTGTGTGTGCGCGCGTAAGTGTGTGCATGCGCGCTTGCGCTTGTGCTCGCACTCACACGTTTCCTGTAATGAATTGCATTTTTAGAGTCTTGCTTGTTTTGCACTTTGCTACCGCATTAAAACGAACAAGCTAAACCCGTGTTAGCTCATCCATCCTCCTTCGAGCGCCTCGTCTGTTGACAGAGACAATCTGCGTTTTGTTTGCTCGTCTCAGCTTTTTTTCTATTTGGGCCGTCGTGGGTTTGCTTATCCAGTGCGAACAAGTAGAGTTGAATTATGATGATGTCCTCAATTGCAGATCATACACTCAGCAGCCACTTCATGAGGAACACCAGCTCTCATGACACCGACTGAAGTTGTAAAAGTTAGTTTGCCTTTAAGTCACTGTTCGTTGAATAGATATTTAAAGAGCTCGCTGATATCATTTTTTTACTTTTTGAAATATTGATTTAACCATGCTGTTTACATGACCCCCGTACCAGTGTTGCCTGTGGAGAACGTCGCTGTGCTCCTGCGAAATGCTATCCGCTATCGATTAGCCCCGAGACCTTCTCATTTGGTCACTTGACAACAAGTGCTGACAAATGTTTCTATCGATAATGCTCCCTGACACACTCACTGGAGACTTTTGAGTGACTGAGAACTAGAGTGGGCTAACTCTATCCATATCCAATTTCTTCATTATATCAACACCTTCAATCTAAAGACAACCATTCATCAATCTAGTCCCCTTAACACCAGCGGCTCATACACAGCAGATATAAAAAAAAAAAAATTGCACACCCCAGTTCAAATGCCGTTTTTTTTTTTTTTTAATGCCAGAAAAAGAAAAAAAAATAATTTTAGGAAATTTCAGAATCCAATTTTAGGAAAAGCTGACTAGAACACCTGAACTTTATTTGGTGCTAATCAGAGGAACTTTGATTGGTGGAAGGTGTGTGCTGACTGCAAGTTCACACTAGTTAGAATGCGATTGATTATTTCCTAATACAGCCACAGCCTAGTTATAAAAGGGTGTGTATCCTTTTAGATGAACTCCAAATTACTTGAAAGTAGACCTTTGGAGCTTGGGGGAAAAAACAATTCTTGTAAACACTTTAAATCATGTAATTATATTCGAAATCTTTCAGCGTGTCGCTAATACCCCTTCAAATGGATTTTTTTCAGTCTCCACTGGGTGTGTGTGGTTTTTTTTTTTGTTGTTTTTTTTTAACAAGAATATCAGCACAGTTTAGGATCTGAATGGTCAACACAAAAATTATATCCCTTGCAAAAACACAGCAAATCACAGCAGAAATAGTGTAGCGTACTACATTCCTGGTGTGCCTAATGAAGCGTACAGTGAGTGTACAAAAGGCGTTCTTTAATTTCTCAGGATGGGTGCACAAAAAGCAGGCAATAATTGAATTCATTGTCACATTTTCTTTTGTCGGTGGATTTTTTTCCCCTTCCCCTGTGAATCATTTCTTCTTCCTTGGTATGTTGTGCTCGTTGGAGGCCTGATTGATTGTCTCTCTGCTGCATCAATAAGCGTTATTGATTCAACAGACACACCAATAAATTTGCTTTCAAAACACCCACTGCACATTTATGCTTCTTATCGATCACCAGACATAAATGGGAGTAGGGGACAAAAATCAATAGTGGCTATAATATATTTATAACATTTGCCCAAAGTGTTAATTTGTGGCCACGAAATGCCAAGGAACCTTGATTTTAGCCCCTAAAAGACCACTGCAATGTTTGTTTTTAATTTCTTCACTCGACTAGTGCCACAGCAGAGCTTGAAGTCGGAAGTCTGTCAACTGTATCGAAATTTGACCAAGCACATAAGATGGGGCACAGATCCTGGCTGTTGAGATTGAACCGTGCATTTTGGTGTTTAAATATACAACCTTTCATTCTCTTGTTGTATGCTCTGCATATATTATTATATACTACTAAGTGTTGTATTTTTGTAATATTTTCAAAAAAATGGAAATATTCCAGAAAAATTACAAAAATCACCTTACGAAAAAAAATATAGATCATATGAAATTACAAAATGTAATATTTTTCATTTTCCAAAATTACACAAATAAAATATTCCCAAATACATAGAACTTTTAATATTAGATTAAAAAAATAAATACATTATTGAAAAGGGAAATAATTGCAGAGAGAGGGAAAAAAATGCAAAAATACACTTTAAAAATCTCATTAAAATTATGTTTATGCTGTTTTACATTTTACAGTAGCATTTTGCTACTGGACTTTTGCTTGCCAAATTTTGGTTAGCTGCGCAATATTTATGTTGTTATATGGGACAGATTTGCAGTTAACGTCAACCGGAAGTGACAAACAGCTTGAAGCAAGCACGCAAAGTGATGTGACACAGTAATCTATTTCTTCACAGAGCGAATGTGAGAACGGGCGCTAAGGAATAATTTAAAAAATTGTGTTCACAAGTTAAAATGTGTCTAAAGTGCACTTTATGTTTATATTGTGAAACAAATTGAAATGTTCCCCACCCAATGTCATGTTTGGGCCTTTGAATTATGAACAGGAAAACAGCATCAATGATTGGAGCCAGGCCAGCAGTCACATGACCTCCTGAAGGATACACAGCTTTTCATAGATCACGCCGATCATCCGCTCTTCTGCCAAAAACACGCCACCAACCCCGCCGGCCGTCGTCTGGGCCGCCATCAAGTGATTTATGGCTACGCTGGTGTGCTGGGCTGTTAGTCAGCAAGCCTCCAGGTGCAGCCACCGCCATCAATTGCATCCCGAATGCACAAACAATCTGCAAAGGCAAGAAATGTCAGCCCGAAAAAAAATTTAATAAATAAAAAAAATCCAGTCTCCTAAGCACTTCTTTCCAATCGTGACTGCACCAAGGTGCTGTCTGAGGTTCTAATTAGGTGAATTTTCCTCATTATACACCGCTCACAAAAAGTTTGGCATATTGGGCTTTGGGGTAAAATTGCCAGATGAACCGAAATTTTTCTTGAGCAGAGGATTATGATAGTTTTGGATGTTTCATTATCATTAGGCTTTTTTGTGTTGTCCTTTGTCTTTCAGTTAGCTTTATGTAGTTTTGAGAGCTGTTTTTATTCGTTGAAATGCTTTTCTTTTAATTTCGTTTTTTAAAATTAGTTTTTGTATTAGGTTTAGTTTTTTTCCACATGTACAGAGTATTTCTCGTTTGTCCCCAAAAAAGTCACTAAGTATTGTGTAATACAGTAAAAACTGTTAGACCTTCTTTCTAACATTTATTATGTTTAATACTGAAATAAACACCCAAGGGTCATTTTGAATTAAATTGACATAAACAACATTTTCGCTTGAATTATAGTTCGTTTTAGTTAGTTTTATAAACATAAAATGTAGTTTCTGTTAGCTACCATTTTTTAAAGCCCTCTTGCTTTTATTTTATTTTGATATTTATTGATATTTATCCTACTGCCCACACTGCTCTTCTAACCAATAATCTTCCGTTTGTGCTAGTTCAGTTGACAGTTGATTTCGGCAAGTTTCGGCATTTGAAACATCACAGTAATTTTGACCCTTTGCCATTTCGGAATTTTTGCCTGGACAAGCAAATTGTGGATATATTTAAGTGAAACGTGTCAGTCAATCCAAAGAAGGTTAGGTGTCATCTTGGTCTGCAAATTAGTTTGCTGTTGGTTAGCAATAGCGTCTGAGTGAGAGTTAGCTGTTGTTTCCAACCTATTGATGAATTCCTCTAGCTTTCAATTTTTTTCTGTTTTCCCCGATCCACATCTGCTCTCATTTTGTCTTTCAAACTGCTGATTTGTCGATGCGTCCCTACATTCTGATTCTCCACCTTTTGTAACTTTTTTCCTGCAGTTGAGATTTCATTGAGTTAATTTCACACGGTACTGTCCTGTCCTGTCCTGTCACCTGTCCTGCGCTCATGCCTGGTGTTGTTTTTGTTACCTTTTGTTTTGTGTTCACATTCTGACTGTAAAAAAAGAAGGTTAAAGTGAGGTCTCTGTGCGATCCAGATTGACAAAAGTAAAAGTGTTTCTGCCATAAGTTTTGTATTTTTTTTTTTCAGGGTGTGACGTACTGTGGTGAAAGTTCAGCCAGCAGTCTGACTATGGCCAACATCCCATGGCACCAGGAAGTGGTTGTGTTTGTGCAGCAGCTGGTCAACATGCTGACTGACTACGAAATCGCATGCGAGCACGAGCACTCCAACTGTCTTCTTATTGCCCACAAGAAGGTAACGTCACACGCTCTATCCTATACTATCCTATCCTATCCCTTGGTGGTCTTTCCTGTCCTTTCTCGTCTTTTCAGATTTTCCTTTGTTCTGTCTTGAGATTGATGTGGCTGGAGCCCTTTTTCTCTACTTACTCTTCATTTCTATTCCTACCTTGACTTGTTTTGTTCTATCATGTTGTCAAGTCTTGTCCTGTCTTGCCTGATCCTCTTCATCTTTCTGGGACCTGCTCTGCCTTATCCTACCTCTTCTTGCCCTTTCCTGTCCCACCATGTATTGTCCCGTTTTAGCCTGCCCTGTCCTGTCCAGCCTTGTCTTATTTAGTAATTTCCTGCACTGTCCTTCCCTACGCTGTTCTGTCTTGCCCTGCCCTGCCCTGCCCTGTCCTGTCTTGTCTTAATGCATTTAGTCTTGTTTTGCCCTCTGCTGTTCGGCCGTGTCTTACTTGGTCTTCACCTGCCATGTCCTGCTCCAAAACTCAGGCCTTGCTAGTTGTCCACCTTGTTGCTAGTTGTCCACCAACAAATCCACTTATAGCGTTTTTTGGAATTAAGTTTTACACATTTCACTCCGCCTTTCATGTGTGAAGGCTGATTTCTTGTTGCCGCGGCTCATTTTCTTAAACCGCATCATTATTTCTTTAATGGGGAAACAGTCCAGTTGAGGCGTGGGCAGATGTTTGACAATTGAACGGTGAGTCATTGTCTTGGTGCGCGCACACACACACACACACACACACACACACACACACACACACACACACACACACACACTATAAGAATGTTCAAACTCTCGTTTTATGTGTGTGAGTTGTTGCTTAACTTTACTTTTTTACTTCGGTGCCACCTGCAGATGTGATCCAGTGGGGCACCGCATGGGCTCTGGGAGCCTGCTGGCAGGCCACACACACACACACACACACACACACACACACACACACACACACACACACAGCCTCTCTCTCTCTCACTTGTTCTTGTTCTCTTACTCAGCCTCACTCTCACTCACTCATTGACACTATCTTTGATGTACACACACTTGCTCACTCTCTTTAACACACAAACATGTCACACATTCACTTACTCTCTCACACACTCACTCACACACTTAGTCACTTTTACACCTGTGAACACACTCACACTCACACCTACAGACTCTTTTTTCTGAGTCTTTCTTCCTCTCTCTCTTTTTTACACTCAGACTCGCACACGCACTCTCTCACTCACTCTTCCACGCAGTCAATATTCCAACCCCCTCATCTTGCCTGTCCTGCGCGGCAATGGCCATTTGTGCGACAGCCTCAGACTTTGCTTCATATGCACGTCCTTCTCACCCACGCCTGTCAGCTTTTCCTAATATATTTGCACACACACACACACGCACACACACACACACACACACACACACACACACACACACACACACACACACACTCCCAATCTTTGCATTTGCAGCCCAGAATGTTGTGCTACAACATGATGCTTTCTCCTGCAGACATGAGCTGTCGCCCTCGTCTTCCTTTCAAAATGGGCGCTTATTTTTTTGGTGACTTGACCAGTCCTGGGAAACCTTTGTGCTCAAATATGATTTTTAAAACACAGGCGTCTGCTTATTTGTAGATCACATCAAAAAGAATCATTCAAATGTGAGAGAGCAAATGTGTGCATATGCCCTGTTTCTTTATAAAGTGACATTGCCTGCAAATGGTTAGGCATGTTCATGACCATTTTCACTGTTTTCAACTGTATGAACGTTGCTACGTGAACCACACAAACATGCATTTTGAGTGCAGAAGTGATGCATTGACCTGTTGTGTGCTCTCGCATCATTTGTTTGTCGATGTTCTGCCCTAGAAGCTCATAGAACCTTCAGTTCTCTTCCAATGAATGAATGAATGAGACCCGAGACAGGACTACCACAGCTGGATAGTCTTCTGTGTTCTTTTCATGCTCGCTACATGATCACTACATGTGACATGTGGAGCGCAAAGCACAAAGGCACTGGACACTTCATTAGGTACACCTGAACCATACAATTGTAGCCCATATCGTTGGAAAGCTCTCAGAACGATGCACATCGTTGTAAGTGCTACACTTTTATGTTGTGCGCGAATGCGTATTCCACAAACGTGATGTTAAACGGAATGCCGTTGTCAGGAAAATTTCTGTGTTGACTTCGCCTTTAAAAAGAAATCTCATCCTTCCTTTTCCTACCACTTGATGCAAGACTCAATTAGGAGTTTCTTTTACCATCTATCAGTCACTTCATTTTTGTCTGTTTCGCTGACCACGTGAAAAGGACTCTTTCTCCGTGGACCATTTTTGACATTAAACATGAATGGAAATCCCGTTATAGGACGAATGCCATGTTTTTCCTGTTTGCTTTTAACACCTTTAGCGCCTCACCGGCCATTTATTGAATCTCCCGCCGGTGCATTGTGGGAAAGACAAGAGGTCACTTGCTTACCCATTTTGCTTGGCTTGGTGAGGCACACATTCTTACACAAACACACGGATCCAGGTATCAGCCTCCAGTGGGCCCTTAAATAAGATGGATGGTGGCTTGGCTGTGAGAGTTGTGGCTGATAAAGAGGAAGTCTTAACAAAATACAGCACAACCTTGAAAGTTTTTCAACATTCATTCTGAAAGTCCAACTGAAGAGAAATGACCACAGAAGTTGGCGTATGTACTTTAAGTCGGCGTAGAAAAGATCACAGGGAGTGAGTGGGTCTTACTTGTTTTTCATGTTTGACATGAAGGAGTACCAAGTAAAGATGAAGCCTGCTACATTATCATCTTACATCACTTGTGATCTGACATGTTGAGACCATCTTGTTTGTGATGTTTCACATGGAGTAACAAATTATGATGGAGACAACTATGTTAATAGCCAACTGCGTAGCTGCCATCCGCTCATCTTTTGTACTCTTCTGTTTTCAGTTTAAGGTGAATGGCAAGTGGCATACGTGGATCGACTATGATCGTTTCCAGGACCTGGCCAGGGCCTACCAGGAGAGCGGCGGTGAAAAGGTTTTCTCCTCGTCGGATTACACGGCGCAGACCCCCGACTGGGCGCTGTTCGGAGCAAGTGAGCAGGGCTTCGACCCGGCCGAAACCCGCTTCCAGAGACGCAACAAAGGCAAAGATCTCTCTGGATGCTGATTGCACCACTTTGATGAGGACTTTTAATTGGGTTTTATTTTCAATACATCCCTTCCTCATTATTGGGTTTTCTCTCTCTCTCTCTCTCTCTCTCTCTCTCTCTCTTTCTTTCTTTCTTTTTTCTCAACTGAC